CGATATGACGATCAACCTCAGAGACAGCTCAATGAGAGCGTAGGAAGAGTCACACGGCAGCAGGTGCATTAGTGCAAATGCATTCGCCCGCACCTTCACATGATGGTTTGTCGGGCAATAAGGTGATTGCAGTTGGTTTAGTGCCACATGAGCGAACATGCCTCTCATACAAGTACTGGATGGCAGTTGCGGCGCTGTTGCGAGAAGACATCAATGCTACTAGTAGTACTGTAGGCTGGTTCGGGGCAACTGGTACCAGTTCTTCCGTTAAAGCTCACGTAGGGTTGTATTCCGTATCCCGTACGCTTAGACGAATGGTACCTCGATTGTGACTTGCCAATCGCCAGTAATGCCATTACATACCGGTAACGGTAACCGCTGGGAGAAGTGAAGCTCTCGTGAGTGCTGTCTCTGGGCTCTGGTCTCGCGTGTAATACGCATGATTGATAATGCAGCAAGAGATCAAAGTATTGCTCGGTAACTCACATCCGCCGTCCGTGCTCAGACCGCAGCCACTAGCGCGAGAAGCTTAAAAAGGGCCGCAAAAGTACTTCACAGCTACTTGTATCATATCATATGTTCGCCGCGCTCCATCTCCAACTGTGACCAATCTCGCAGGCCGATCATCACCTGCATCTGCGCTGCTACATCTCTTGCATTCCCAGTCATTGATTGTCTTTTAATAGCGTCGACTCACTCACTCAGCCATTGAGTCACCAGATTCTACGCGATGCGCTTGGCTCGACAAACGTTCCAATTCCTTCTCTGCCCCGGTTCCTGTTAATCCAGGGCGCTACACACCCTCCCTGCCCTCTAAATCCAATATCAACCCCAGCCCATCAGACGGATGCGAGCAACTGGTATTCCGCTATACAACTATCGACGTGCTGCATACCTACCGCTTAATCGCCGCCCTCGCTTTTCCAATCCGAATATCAGCTTTCAGCATTTCAATCTTCCTTCGTCTATTTCCTTCATCCATCTCTCATTCATACATCCATTTCACTCGCGCTAACAAAGAGCCAGTCCACTTCTTCCAACCAACTCCACCTTCCCCTTAAGTCTGCTTGTCTGTCTGCCAGCACGAGCCTCCGTCTCTCTTTGTGCTTACCGTCGTGACTCACCGCTATGGCAGCGCCTCATCCCATCCAGCCTTCTTATTCCGTAATGCCTACTAGTGACGTCCAGCAAGGATGGATTATTCTGTGAGTGTGTGTGTTTGCGGAGTAGAAGATGGTGTCTTAATCCTACAGGATGCAGCAAGCGATCCCGAAAGCGATCCCGAAAGCGCCAATTTTCTTACCTAGTCGCTACTGCAACTTCGTGGTTTCTGCTACTATCAAGAACACCGCGGCTCGCCTCGATCAATTTGCCATGCAAAAGGGCAGCCACAAAGCTACATGCAGCCAACGCCATGTGCATGGATCCCTGCATGGCACACCCCGGCACGCACGCCACTCTCCACATGGCCTCGGTTTGCTGGAGGCCCAAGCTCCGCGAAGGGTTCATCCGAACTTGGGAGCTTTGTTTCATCATCCTCACTTTTATCAGCCACCAGCTTGGATGCTGCTTAGGATCATTTGGCTGAGAAAGAATAATCTTTTCGGCTATCTTGACAGCGGCAAGATTGCGTCGGAGAAAATGACGAGCGTCACACGCACCGCTCAGATAGGAAAGCAGCCGGCATCGCGATGCATGGATTAGCCGCTTCCCGTATATGGCAAGCAGTAAGTACATGTAGGTAAGTATTGGTATCACTGCGTCTGATGGCCCAAGTAATGTCTCAATTCGTTTTTCGTTCGCTGCCATATTTTTTCCCACGGTGCTTGACATGCAGCGTCGAGAAGATCGTTCCAAATCGCCGTCGTGCAAAGATTTGTAGTAATAATTGCTGTAATCATCTCGAAATATTGACCCGAACAAGTTCCCCGCAAATATCCCAGCCCTGTGAAGTGTGTGTCATGAGACCTTGTGATAGCGGCGCTTAATCGCATTGAGTTAACGACTGCGACGGTTGGTCAATTGACACACAGATGCAGATATTGGGTATCAGATCTCGCCTCCTTAAAGTTGCGTAGGCTACCGGGTAGATTGACAAGAAATAGCGGAAAGTAAGATTAATGCATTGCTGGCTGTCACCCGACTCTTGTTGATGACATCTCCGTTTGCATACCTTTACCACGACGGGGTACAGAGTCCAGGTGAGTAGCCATGCAAGGACATCACAAAAGTCTCTTTACTACGCCGAGAGCTCACCGTCTTTCTGACTACTATTCTGACGCTGACAAATACGATCCTTGAATTGATATGCTCACCCTGGATTGAACTTACTCATATCGACTCTTCTCCGCATATGATAGTGATCATTCTCATATGCGGAGCAGGGCAAGTATCATTAATTTAGGTATAAAATGAGCAGTACCTGTCCAGTTGATAAACAATCTCTCGAACTGGTGGTGAACTGTGCTGTTGATCATGGGAGAAGTTATCCAGCACCCCAGCTGTAGCGCAATAAGGCACCTAGTCCACATATTAAATACATCTACATAACTGTAATAGCAGTAATAGCAGTAATAGCAGTGATAGCAGTGATCGCAGCAATAGCAGCAGCAGCATAGGTACATTATAGCTTGAGTGCCGAAGAACAGAATCGGGGTGCTGGGTAACTTTTCTCTTGATTATTGTCATTTACGCATTAATGCTACCTGCTTTCAAAGCCGAAATTCTTTTTCAAACAGTAGATGTCTCGAACCCGCAACGCTCTACCCATCTACAGTTGTAAAATCCTTCATCGATGACACTTCTTCCACAGGATGCTTATTCAAACTTTCATAAAGCTGCAAGTAGCTACCAATTAAGAAAGCCCAGGAACCCCTAAGAACATTTAAGTCAGCAAAAAGAGCCCCAAAGATGAAGGGTCGATAAAAGTAAAGACTTACCAGAACGTAGCCAGCCCAGCCTCATACTGTGCGCCCGAATTATTATACGCCATCCCCAACGCGCCACTGAGCGTGAATCCAAACGCTCCGATAAGATTCCAAAAAGCAATATGCCATCCCAAAAGTTTCGGCGCGGGCTTCCACCATTTTTGCTGCGTTTCCAACATGTACAATGAGCTGCTGACGATGAAGCCACTGCCGCCAACGACCTGGGGGATCCAGTACGCAGCATTGAGCCGCCATTGCGGCGTGAGGTGGTTCTGGATGCCCGGCAAGGCGGTAAACCCAGAGACACCAAAGACAGTGGCACCAAAGAGCTGTGCACACCCAGCAAGGAAGCCCAGTTCATGAAGACAATGTGTGCGCAGTTCATACCATGACGGGAACCATTGCCATTGCCTCTTCTCATCCGCACTGCTGGAATCCGGACGAGCTTCGGCCACGGTGGCTGACGAACATTTCCCAACAAGGTTGCGTTTATTCTGGTGATGATGGTGGCAATGTCTATGAGCCGCAACCACTCGTAGCTTCGGGCTACCTTTCTTCTCACCATCGACTAATTGTTCAACGGCCCAGCCAAAGCAACCCGCACTATTCGCGTTGATGGCCTCGAAGATGAGCAAGATGGAGCCGAACTCGAAGAAGATTATCGCGCCAATAAAGGCGGTTATACCACCGCCATCGGTGATTTCGTTGTTGAATTCGGTAGAGGGGGCTGCCACGGGAAGCCACACGAAGAAGGCCTATTGAATTGCATCATTAGATCATCACTTTGCCCGCGCTCAATGTTGTTATATAACAGCAAGTGAAACATACGTTTATGACCCAAACCACGCTTCCCCAGGTAAATATAAAGGCCACTAGCCACGAAATGTCCCATATTGGATAATATGTAAACGTCTTGATGATAGTTTTCATAATCTCTTTCGGATGCGACGATCGTCTCGGTGCCAGGAAAGGCGCATCCTCCCCAGCACGCGCTTGCTGGACTAGTAGAGGATGTCTGCCCTTTCGGTTGTCTCGCGACCGCCACAAGAATCTGATATTCCTAGCGGGGACATTGGATTCCGCGACGTGTTTCGGCGGCTCGTGTCTGGCTTCTACATCGTCGCCGCTCTCTTGCGGCGTCGCTACTTTGTTGGACGTCGCATCAGCGCATAATTGGGAGTGGTCGAAATGAGCGCGTGTCGGGTTGAGAAAGCGAAACGGCCCTTCGGCGTGCTGCAGCGTCAATCGATCATCATTGCGGAATGGTTCGCGCGTGAAGAAGCGCCTGTTCCTAGCTGGCATCTTCAATTGTGTCTCAGCGGCAGGCTGCTTGTCGCGAGCTCTATTGGAGAGTCCGCTGTAGCACTTGGTTCTTGTCGCCGGGTTTCAGAGGTTGCCTGCGCGTGGTTATAAACAGTCCATTGGAGAGCTCGGATGTGTCGCGAATGTCAATCGAGACTACGAGAGCAACAAGAGCCGTAGGCCCTGGCCGATGACGACAGGCTCTTTTCAACATGGCGAGCCTGTTGTTGCATGATGGTGATTAAACAAGTTTAGCGGGTTTTAGCCCCAGCTGCTAAGTGCCGTTTCCATGTTAGCGCTCGATAAACGCGGGTATTTCTCCGTATAAAGCAACAGACGCCACGAGCTTTTCCCCGCCAAAACCCCAAAGCCATAAAAACCGGGCTGAGCGGCACGGGCTCCCGTCTCTTTCAGGTCTGTGTTGCTCAAATAAAGAAAGGTAATTTGCAAAAGCCAGAGGATGAATAAAGATATTAGCTATCCACCCTATTTGAATTGCCAGTTGCTAATTGTGGCGCCGTATTCGTACACTCTTGTCGAACGTCCGTCCCGAATCTCAGCTTAGGCTATGAACCCCAGTCGCTATTAAGAAAAAAAATCGTACATTCCGTTTTATATTTTTGTGTCATACTCCTTAGCCCCTATAAATGATATTCCCTTATTGTTACATAACTAATATTCCCAGGCAATCAAGAATAACCCTTGATAACGGAGATAAAGTGATTTTATTAGAGAATCAAACCCTCCTCTCGCTCTCTCACATAGGTTTAATTAACCCATGATCATGCCCTTCATACCGGCAAGATCACCCTCCTTGGCCGCAATCTCGAAGTAGCCATAGATGATGCTAGGTAATGTTAGTTTGAATTGTATTTCATACTTTTTGGAATAAGAAAGACTTACGTAACAGCGAGAAGGGTACCAGTACCAGAGCCAAGGGCGCCCATGAGGTCGCTCAAAACGGACAGAGCACCAATGCAGGCACCGCCGAAGGCAGCAGCAGTAGGAATGATGCGCTTGAGCTCCTTGTACATGCTCTGGTCACGGTGTCCGGCCATCACAAGGCCCTGATCCTTGAGCTGCTTGGCAACATCACGGGGGCTGGAGCCGGAGACCTCAATCCAAGTCTTGGAGAAAAGAGCACAAGCTCCGAGCATGTAGACAATGTAGACGGCGGTGTGGATAGGGTCGAGAAGAGCCTCCTTGAAGTTGAGAGGAGGAGACATGTAGTAGACGAGACCGGAGACGGCGTGGAGCTGAGAAGTACCGTCCTTGGCTTCCCAGACACCAAAGAGGCGGACCAGCAGGTTCTCAGAGAAGCGAGAGAAGAGCATCTGGCTGATCAGGAAGACGTTGGAAGAGAGAGCGGACTGCAGCATGATGGGCATGTTGGATGTGTAGAACAGACGGACGGGGTATGAGCCGCGGGCACCACGTTGGCGGTTGGACTTGACGGGGATCTCAACTCGGAAGCCCTGGAGGTAGATGATGGCAACAAAGACCATGATGGTGGCCAACAGGTTCATGATGTTGGGGAGGTTCTGGCGGTAGAAAGCCTCCTGGAGAGCACGCTGCTTGTTGGGCCAGGTCATCAAGAGGTGGAAGAGAGCGATAACAGCACCCTCAAACTCGGGGCCACGGCCAGTGTTGATGGTGGTAGGAGAGAAAGCCTTCCACATGATGGACTCGCAAATGTTGGTGGCGATGAACAGAGAGATACCGCTGCCAAGACCGTAGCCCTTTTGCAGGAGCTCGTCGAGCAGGATAACAATCATGCCGGCAACAACCAATTGGAGGATCAGCAGGAAAACAATACCGGCACCGAGGTCGGAGGGGGTTCCGTAGAGGCCGGTGAAAACGTAGACGGTAGCGGTACCGGCAGACAGGATGAAGGCAAAGAGCTTCTGGGCAGTCTGGTAGAGCTCGCGATCCGACTTGAGGTCGAGGTTGACGTCAATGAGGTGGGTGCCCGCAAGGAGCTGGAAAACCATGCCAGAGGAGATGATGGGGGTGATACCCAGCTCCATCAGAGTACCTCGATTACTCGCCATGACCATTCGCAGCCAGTATAGGGGATCCGAGTTGTCGGAGGAGACAATGCCGTACAGCGGCATCTGGCTCATGACCAAGAAGATGAGGAGCGTCAAGGCCGTCCACATCAACTTCTGGTTGAAGGGAATCTTGGTTTCCGGCTGCTGAACCTCGGGGAGGAACGGCACGAACGGCTTGACCAGGTCGAGAAAACGTACTGCAGCGGCATTGCCCGTGTTAGCGGCGTGCCATTGACAATCAATTGCGCGTTTCTGGCGAATCGTGTGCGCGCGCGCGACGCAAGCTGGCCGGAAGCTTGGCGGGGGAGAGATGAAGATGCAACTCACGAGAACTCATGGCGGCGACTGGAGGGGGGAGCCCGAGAAAGAAAAAACTAATTCATCCAATGAAAAAAGAAAGGAGGAAAAAGTTTGAGCTGGGATGAGCTCGGGGGGAAGAAAGAAGGTTAATCAATGGGAGAGAGAGTGATGAAGGGAGCTGGAGAGAAGGTTGCGATCTGGCTTCAAGCCGAAATGTTGATGTGGCCCGAAACGATGGGGTTGCACGTGACCGGCCGATGGCGAGAAGAAAGCTGGCCTCGACCGCAGCAAGGGGTCTGCGGAGCCAACCAGTTCGAGCCACTCCAGCGCGCGAGATTCGCTGGATCAACGAGCCTGAAGTGGGGTGGATGACTGTTCCGTTTCGAATTTGTTCTATTATTTTTCTGGTGCTGCCTGTGTTAATTTAAAGGCTGCCGCGCTGCTGGAAGAGGAAGCTTCTCTGGAGTTGCGCCTGAGAAGACACATTGCAGGATCCTCTCGGCCACTGCTTACTATCGGCCGCCGCCTTTTTGGTGGGCATGGGACCCTGATTCGGTCTGTTGTCGAATGCTTGGTCGCCAGGGTTTCACGCTGCGGCGCCATGTATCTATGATGACCACCCATACAGCTCCAGCCGAACCGTTGCTGGTTGTCTTGGGCTCTACAGGCACGGGTAAATCAGAGGTAGGCGTCTTTGGTCTCACTGCAACGTGCATATGATTCACATTCTGATAACTTTACACAGCTAGCCGTAGAATTAGCAACTCGATTCAAGGGCGAAATCATCAATTCTGATGCTATGCAGCTGTATGATGGTCTACCCATCATAACAAACAAAATCAGCGTGGAGGAGCGACGCGGTATCCCGCATCATCTTTTGGGCCATATTCCGCTTGACCATGCCCCGTGGGATGTAGAAGACTACAAGTCAGAAGCTACTAAAGTCATTCGTGAAATCCGCAGCCGGGGAAACCTACCCATTCTCGTTGGAGGGACTCAATATTATGTTGATCCACTCCTTTTTAAAGACGTTATCCTTGACGATGTTCAAATCAATCCTTCCTCATCATTTCCGATCCTAGAGGAGCCTACAGATGTATTGCTTGAAGAGCTAAAGAAGGTCGATCCGGCAATGGCGGAGAGATGGCATCCGAATGATAGGCGCAAGATCCAGCGATCACTGGAAATTTATCTGCATACGGGCAGACCTGCATCCGAGTTGTATGCGGAACAAGAGAAACGCAAAGCTGCGACTGCTCAAGAGTCAGAGACCAATCAACCCTGGGAGAAGTTGATGTTCTGGGTCTACTCGGAACGTGAAACTCTTGTTGAGCGATTGGACAGTCGAGTAGACAAGATGCTCGACGCTGGACTATTGGACGAGGTTCAAGAGCTTTACGACATGAAAAAGAAGAAGACCGCTGAAGGTCAGATTCTGAACATGACAAAGGGTATATGGCAATCTATTGGCTACAAGCAGTTTGAGCCATATCTGTCCGCCAAGGAAGAAGGAAAGGATCTAGCTGATCTTGCAAAACTCAAGTCCAGCGCAATGGAAGATATGAAAGCGGCGACACGCCGATATGCCAACTCTCAGACTCGCTGGATCAGGCTGAAGCAGATCCCACGTCTCAAGGAGCAAGTCCCCAAGGCCTTCGAAAGCTTGTACTTGGTTGACAGTACCGATGTCTCTCAGTTCAAGTCCAAAGTTGTAGAACCTGCTGCTGAGATAACTGCAAAGTTCCTCTCTGGGGAACCTCAACCAGCCCACACAGAGCTATCAGAATTGGCTCGCGAGGTGCTCACACGAGTGAGTGAGCCCCCGCCGAAAGCAATTCCTTGTAAAAGGACGTGCGAGATATGCCAAACGGTCTGCTTGACAGAGCAGGCTTGGAATAGGCACATCAAGAGTGCTGGCCACAAGCGAGTCATGAAAAAGAAGAAGAGGCTTGCGCTTGTACCAGTAGACGACACCTTGGATACCCCCTCCGATGCTGAAGCATCCTCAGATCCCGACGTGACCTCGATATTTGCTGCTTGAACGTCGCAACGTCGCAACGTCGCAGTTTTGATACACCGACGGCATAAGCCAGTGGTATCACGCAAATCTTGGGGTTGCATTCGGATAATCCGTACCTCATTCTCACCCCTCCATGGAGATGATTACTTTTCGTCTACTCACACTCAAGCCCTGGTGGCGTGGGTAAGGTGAATTTAACCTGCTGCTTCACGATGGCAATGAGAGGTAAAAGTCAGATCGAAAGAATCTGACAAACACATACAATAGTTCAATCTGATTGACCATTGCCCATCTGGGCATTGCATAACAATATATTCAAATGATATACTCAATGCTGTTACTCTTTCTAAATTCATGATTTCATTCTTCATTCAAACAGATTCCAACGCCCGGAGCCTCCTGTGCCAGTCAAAACGACAGAGCAAAACCGCAATGGCGATAAACCCGGGGCATGATGATGCAAGAAATTGCTCTCCACCTTCCGAAACATGCGCCTTGAAACTCCCACCCAATACAAAAGAAACAAAAGGTAAAAAGAGTATACGAAAAGAATGAGTGATTCCACAGAGGCGACCAACGATGGCTGTCGTCGCCATGTCTGTGTACAACATATTGGACCAAGGATCTCAGCCTTGGTCGTCAGTGCAAAACGGCCAACCAGTTGATTGTCGAGGAATATCAAGTAAAGGATAGACAATAAGAATCGTGCGAAAGCGCTTCACGCAAGGCGGGACGTATTCTTCTCAAGACGTCTGCTTCTCAATCGTAGGCGCCTTGACGCCAGGTCCGCCGCGCGAGACCCAAGTCCGAGCCTCGCGCACGACGCTCTGGAAGAATGTGTAGATGGTGCTGGGCTCGCCGTCGACGCCTCGAGGGACGTTGTCACCATAAGGGTCGAGGTAGATGCTTCGTCGAGCCATTATTTCTTTTTATTTGTCTTGTTCTTGTATAGGGCGCCCTCTGTGTGATAGGGTGGAGGATGTACGTCACGAAAACTGAGTGGACGTGGGCTCTTTTATCTTGCTTGGTGCAACAAGTATGTGTTATGTGTAAGTGGTTATGTGTATCCGACTACTGAATGCATGTGAAACAGAACAATAAAGACGACTCATTCCACAGAGCGGCCGCCTCATTCTTTATACTCCTCGTGGTGGCAAGCCCCCGGTGCAGCCGCACTCACTAACGGCCTGCTCACGCGGGACATGTGCAAGCCACAACGCCTTTCTCTCTGCCTTGAGCAACCATGCTGGCGCCTTGGAGGATGCATCCTGACAGTCTTTGCTATCTCGTAACAACCCACCACACGGCCCAATGGCAGGCCCCTGCACGCGAAACTAGTTCCTCCTGCATCGGTTGGCATCTTTACGCTTTTCGGGTAATGTCAAGACGACCTATCATTGAAACGGCCGACATGCAACGTATAAGCCCCCAAAGACAAGGCTCTCTGTCTCTCTCTTGTTTTTTTTTTCGGTGTCTTCCCCTCACTTCTGTATCACCTGGGCACTTATAGTGCTCAATACCTGGTCAATGATCGGCCGCCGTCTTACTGATTCAAACAGCCCATCCATGCCCTTACTAGTCTATCCATCGTCACGACAAAGGAAAAAAAGGCTGAGTGAGCTGCCTGCCTGGAAAAATGCCTGCCTTTCCACAAACCGCTGAATTAGGAAGTCCGCAAAGAACCGGGGAGTCGTTCCCGCTGCCCGTGCGTTAAATACTCTTTGCAGATACCGAGCAGCAGCGGCAGTAAGACATTTCTTGCCGCGTCTATAATATGCAATACGACCACCTTGCAGATTTTACCGGAGGAAATAATCCTGAAATAAGAAACTCAATTAATCTATTAGAGTAGCATTTAAGGAATTTACGCGGCTTATGGAAAATGCCGTTTAATGATCTGCGTGTAAGATAACCGGTTTCAAAAAGATAAAAAAGCATGTGGTGGTAGCAGTAACAGTGGCATTCGCGGCATTCGATCCAAGTGGCTAAAGTCTCTCGCTCTCTCTCCACATCTCGCTTACGAGTAGCATCATGTATGTATGTTAAAGTGGTTGGTACCCTGTTCCAAACTTGAGCATCTAATCCATACCTACTTGTAAAAGAAACCTTGCTCATAGAGAATTCTGGCTTGCTATTTGTCGATATATGACTGCTCGCTCATTGAGTACGAGGGAACGAGGGAAGGCTATTTTAGCCTGCCGAGCAATCCGCCCGTCCCTAGCAGAGATAAGCTGAACCCTTGCCGTCTTGAGAATACCCATCTATTTTAGTTGACGATACCGACCAAACATCTATTCCATAGTATTCTATATAATGTCAAAACAAGTTTGAGACACTGCTCATACATATGGGAGGATAAGTAGGAGAAACTGGATGTCAAGATTTAATGGTGCATTCTGACGGCGCTTTGACCGTGGCGTTTATATGGGGTAATCTGTCACAGACAAGCCCGGGACAAGGGAATACCGAGGCCCTGGATCTGGTGATGACATCCCTACGAGGCCATTCTCTCTTTCAGAGAGCATTAGTGTGACGTATCATCCACTGGTTACACTTCGGCGGGGACAGGAGTTTGCCTGTCTCATAGAGCAGAATGCTATAGTTACATTGTATCGCTGTCTGTGCGCTGAGGTCGATTCATGATAACTTTTCTAGGTACTAGTACTGCTGAATACTACGCTCTCTTGACTTAAAGGGTTCTCGTGTGGAGCTGGCTGCTTTCCTCACGAAGACTTTTAAGCTGCCTTTCAAACTCCTTGTTGGCCCATTCCCAGTAGCCTGTCCAGACACCTGCCGCCGCCGTGTTGCTAGTAGCTGCGCCAGCGTTTCCAGTCATTGCCTTCATCTTGTCACCCAGAAGAAGCGTTACTCTCAATATGCTCTTGTTGGTTTCTTCTTGCTTCTCAACGTCCTGTTTGACAGCATTGTCCTTGAGTTTAATTGATAGGACTCCACGGTAGGCCTCGGCGATCGAGTCCAGCCGTCGTGCTGTCTCATCGGGGTCGATCACGATGAGCTTGGTCACCATGAGGTTGCAAAGTTGACGAATGTCGTTGTCATCCTTAAGACCAGCAATCACTCTGTCATAGAAGTCGATATTGTTAATTCGTGTAAATGCCGTCTCCATGAGTGCATAGAGGGTCTCGTATGCGCTCTAGATTGAAAACAATATCAGTGTCATGTCTCTTTATATGAAGAGAAGGGGTAGTTCACTCACCTTGCGCACTTCCAGGCCGTCATCGACCTTGTGCTTGAACGGGCCCAGCATGACCTCCCGGATAAGCTCCTTCTTGATGACCGATTCGCTGAGAACAAAGGGTAGGAGTTCACCTAGATGAGGCAAAATGAGATCGGGCTTGTTGTGAGCGGCTGAATTCAACGTCGTCATGGCCAGTCGTCGGATTTCCATATCTGAATCTTGCAGCATGACTAGAAGCATTTCGATGAGGACATTACGAAGCATGGCATCAAACGTCTCGTCGCTCTCGGGAAGTGTGTATCTGACTGCTTGGACTGCCATGCCTCGGATTCCTGATGAGTGATCCTTTAAGAGTGTCTAAATCCAATAATATTAGCATATTGTTTACTTAGAGTTTTTTTTTTTTCACAATTGCAAGGATTTCTTCTGGATGTAACTTACCTGTAATTTGGGCATAAAAGTGGTAGGGTCCAGGGTGGCGAGGCGGCCGACGCACTCAGCGCAAATAATCTTGTTGTCAGCATTCGATGAGGCTGCTAGGAGCTGGTCCCAGATGGGAGTGGCGTAGCCTCGAAGATCGGCAGACTGTGATGAGATTGACTGCAAAATCTCTTTGATCGACTGGATAAGCAGATACTGGGTATTGCCCCCACCCTCCATTGTTTTGAGAATAATTGGGAGATACTCGGGAATATTTCCAGAGCCAGCCCTGCCAAGGGCGATGGCAGCGGCCAGCGACACCTTGTCTGGCTCTGAATGAAATTGGTCCAAGAATAGCTGAGGCTTCAAAGGCGATTTATCCCCAAGTCTCATTCCCGACTCTCCAAGAACAGCGAGGGCAAGGCTCACACCAGCCTCATCTCCACGTTCTGTACTGCCATGGAGCTCTGTAACAAAACTGTCAAGAGAGACACCAGCTGAGGTACCACCGGTCACTAGAAGGGTTCCAATAACCTTGCCAACGACACCAGGGTCGCCCTGAACGCTTACGTCTTTCAAAAGACCTTGCATAAGCGGTTCGCCGGCGCCACTCTGGCCGACGCGGCTGATCAAGTCAAGCAGCTGGTCGAGGACGATGCTTGCAAAGTGCGACTTAAGCAGTTGGCAAAGCGCGCCGATCATCTCTTCGTTGATGATCAGGTCCGAATGGTCCTTTACCATGTTGCCAAGAATGATCAAGGTAGGGCCGAGGAGGTGTGTGTCGCTGTTCTTGATGGTGGGCAGCAGAGCAGAAACAATTCCCTGGATAGTAGCTGGTTCTAGCTTGCCTTGAGTGGCCGCTGAGAGCACGAGGTGTTTGAGAGCCTGGACGCTGGAGCCTCGCAGAGAGCGGTTGGCCTTTCGTAGCTGAGCCGATAGCTCCAGGGCGACGTCTTGGATCCAAGCCTGCTCTAGCTGGTCCGGAGAGACAGCAAATGCTGCAACGTTATCAACGGCACGAACTGCGGCTAGACGTGTCGTCTCGTTCTTCATCCTCTCCTGAAGAATATTCAGAGCAACCGTTCGTTTCTCGGCCGACAAGAGACCAGATCCTTCCGCACTAGATGTCCTGGAAATGAGAATTCCTAGAGCATGGATAGCACGTTGTCGGACCTCCGCGTCAGCGTCGTTGGCGGAGCCACGATCCACGATGACTTCGTAAAGCTTGTCCAAGTCGTCTTTGAACTTTGATCCGGCAGTGCGAGCTCGTGGAGGAGTGATTGCTTTGACAAGCTCTTCTGATGTGCGAATTGCCTCACTCGAGATTTTATAAAAGCGGTCATGAACGGCCGACGCAACTCCGGCAACGACCTTGCTCAGGTATGGCTGAAGCACTGAGGATGAATGTGTCTTGGCAATATCGCTTATAAGCTTCAACGAGGCGACGCGCAGGGTGCTTGGAGTTGCAGATGCAGAGCCTCCTGCGGCGGCAAGTGAAGACGAGATCGAGCTGGTGCCGGCAGTCTTGACGGCATCAACGATGGGTCCGATGACTTCGGGGAAAAAGTCGACAAGGCCGCCATGCTGAACAGATACCAGGTCATCTAGCATACTAACGATTGCCTGCTTCGTTGGCACAGTTTTCCCCTTTAGCTGCTTGGTTGCGGCCTTGACGATGCTTGGCGTTAGTTTGGAGAGATCTGCTCGTGGACCTTGAGCAGGAATCTTCTCTGCGCCAGGCGACGTGATGCCAGAGCCCGCCATAAATTTTGCAGCGCTTGATCCCCCGGCACTGCTTTGCCTTCTCCTCTTACGGTTGACGGGGATCTGGGATACCATTTCAGGCTCGTACTCGTCTCGAGTGAGATCTACTGTATGGAGGCCCTCGCCTGTCTTGCGGATGAGCAGCGACAGAGCAGAGATGACCTCGAGACGAACGTTTTCCTCCCTCTCCTCAATACGCTTCACAAGTTGTGGGGCAGCTTGGTTATACAAGACACCGTTGTCCAAGAGATCGCCGCTGCCACGGGTGGAAATGAGTGTGTATATGGCTTTCGCAGCGCATCGACGGACTTTCCAGCTTGCGTCGTCATCGTCATCCTCAAAACCGTCGTCATCTTCGAACTCGTCATCTTGATCGTCCTCTTCCTCCTCATCGACATCCATGTCTTCGTCGTCATCCACAGCATAATTGGGATCATATTTCAGATAACGTAAGCAGGAGGTAAGGGCATCGTCTGTGAAAGGCCGCATCTCTTGTGGGCAAGAAGCCAAGAATGCCTCCAGCGCGACTAAAGCAGTCTCTCGAATTTCGTTGAATTCTGGTCCCAGATCGTCACCATCGCTAATCTTTTCCGTATGAGCTTCGAGCTCCGCTTCAGACAGGGCGGCAAGAATAAAAGGCGTTGTCTTTTGGAGGTGCACGCCGAACCGAGGAGGAATTGACCGGGCCATGCTGCCCATTATTGAAATATAGAGACGGCGGGTGACTGGAGAGACGCTGGTATTGGATAGATCAGTGGTGATCCGATTGATAACATCTGCCAGATGAGCATCGGATAGATAGACGGCAAGCATAGATATAGCAACTACTGCCCTCTTCTTGACCACAGAAGAAGCCTTGTCCCCTTGCAGTAGCTGCAAGACGACCTCCTGCATCGCTTCCACCTCAACTTGCTGTAGCAAGGGACCAAAGCATCGCACAACTTCCACTAGCACATCAACGGCTTCAGCGTTGACTCCATTTTCATCCTGCAATAGTCCGGTCGGGACAGCAGGCAGATTGACTCTTGGTGCTTGTGGGACTCGCGTCAAAGGACCGGGTCCAATGAGTCTGGGAATTAACACACGGCTGATGGCGTTATATGCCTCTTGGATACTAGAAGTGCTCGGAATGCCTGGGATAGGCCGAGGGAGTGCGGTGATAACGGCTCGCAGGGCTAGCGCTGGCACAGCGGTATCAACTGAGTTCTTGAGCTTTAACGACGAGAGCTTATCGATCATGGGAGCAATAATGGGAGTCGGGACTTTGCCCACAAGCGGCCCGAGACTGCATTTGACGAGGCGTTAGTAACTCTAGCATGACACGATGCAGGCTGGGATGCTGAACAGACCACTTAATCGCCAGGTTCTGCACCTCTCCATTCTGATCGTCCAACGTCTTGATGATGCCATCGACCGTTCTCGCGGCAATGTTGTAATCGTGCTGAAGAAAATCCTCTCTCGCAGTCGTGAGCAGCTGAAGCAGGTCGTTGAGGGACATGAAACGAAAGTCGGGATCGGCATCGCCTAGCTTCTGGACATGGCCTATGACGGCCTGGGGCGTGGCGGCAGAGGCGGCGATGGAGGCCATAGTGAGCTGGTGGAGGCTGCTCCTCTCTGTCTGTAGAAGATGAAGTGGTGCCAATCAGTGCATCTACCAGCAGCTTTTAGGCGTTTGATGCTGAAGCCGAGACGAGAGCTTGTCACGAGATGGAGGCCGTTTTGGTGGTGTGAGGCAGCAGTGCGAGTAGCATCGAGGTTCAAGGTTCGAGTTGGAGGCTCGAGGATTAGGCTGCTTAGTGGGGTCGAGCTCCAGGCGGGGCGGGGTGGCAGCTCGTGGAGGGAAAAGGCCCCCCAAGTCAAACGTCACAGCAGGCGTTGCCCCACTAGAGCTGTACGTTGGTAATGACTGCGCAATCTCATCTCTGCGCGTTTCCCCAAAGAATCGTCTTGCTCTATACCATCATGTTCAAACATGTCTCATGATTGATTAACCAACTGCTTTTGTTTGAATTTACAGTATAGCAGGCATGGCACATAAAATACTCAGGAATGTTGGCGGAAGAAACGTAGCAGAATGGGTAGAATGGCCAAGTTGGCCTAGGGTAGTGTATGTAGGTAGTGTACATGTATGACAAGACAAGCTGGCTTCTGTCTCTAATTGTAAAAAGGGCTGAGAAAGAAAAAAAGGACACAAGGAAAGAAGAGAATATGCGACATGAGATGTTCTCGATGACAATATTGAAATGCGTTGTGGGATTTTACCACATAAGTTATGGCATCTAAACAACCTACTTTAGGTCAAGTTAGTAGCAATATGTGAAGGGGGGGTTGCTCTCTTTTCAACTTGAGAAGATGGTAGGATGTTCTGAATGAATTAATTATGGGTTTATACTAATGAATCCAAAATGTCTAACCATAGTTCAACTTGAGCCTTTTCCCCTTTAGATAGAGTTATAAACCACCATCCTAATCTAGAACAACTCACGGAGACGTTCGGATACGTGACACGGCCAATGATGCTTGGCTGCCCAATAGAGGCAGTACAGAAAGACTCAATGAGGGCACCAAGTTTCACGAACTGCTTAACAATAGCTTAACTCCGATGTTGGTCAGCTTAAATAGTCCAGCCCACCGTATAGTCTGGGCGAGTCCGGGGTAATTATCAATCCCGGCATCGTGCCGAGTTTATGTACGTATGCAAAGTAGATAAAGATGATCAGCTGCGCATGGCATCCTCCGCGGTGGGTCCGGCAAGTGCCGTCTTTGGCTTCGGGGGTTCGTCTATCTCGCTTACATCGTAAAGTATCATGCTTGTTTTGTAGACTTTCAACATCTTAGCCCCAGATTCTGTTAGTGTATGTAGCATGATTAGATATTCTGCTATGCATTGTCAATGTCCCTTGAGAAAACATTTGGCGTCGGGGGTTACTCTCGGGACCAGATGACGAAATGGAAGGCATTCTTTGGCGTAGAAGATTGTCTATATAAGACAGAGGGTCCAGAGGGATAGATAGTTTTTTATTATCCGCATCGAAATCGACAAGCCGAGAGATTCAAGTGTACAAAAACTCAATAACCTTTAAGTTCAAGCTTTATAAATCCGCATATTTCCTTCCTCCAGCGTCTAGTTTTCACAACAACAACTACTACTTCCCACGTTATAGAACCCTTTACGAAACTACAACACCATATTAACATAAAGTATCAGCAAAATGTCAGCTACGGAAGGATTCAAGTCAATCGACCCAAGCAACGGTCAGTTCGTCAAGGCCTACTCCACGGCCACAGACGCAGAGGTCTCTGCTGCTCTCGACAAAGCGCACAATGCCTACACCAAAGTCTGGCGATCCACCCCTGTGACCGAGCGCGCAAAGATTCTTGCCAAACTTGCAGACTTGATCCGCCAAAACAAAAAGGAAATGGTAGAGCTTGGTACTACAGAAATGGGCAAGCTCATTGCGCAAATGGAGGGCGAGATCGACTTCATCATCTCAATCATAGAGTATTACGCCGACAACTCTGAAGAGTTTAGCAAGCCTGTTCCCGACCGACACGTTCCTGGTATGCAGGTAGTCACCGAGTCTCTCGGAGTCATCTTGGCTATCGAGCCTTGGAACCTCCCTTACTATCAAGTCGTCCGGGTGGCTGCCTGTCAACTTGCCGCCGGCAACGCAGTGCTGGTCAAGCCGGCGAATAGCGTCGCGGGCTCAGCCTTGTTTTTGGAGAAACTGTTCCTTCAAGCAGGAGCCCCAGCTGGCGTGTTCCAAGTTGTTCTCGCCACCATCCCCCAAATCGGCACCCTCCTTGACGATTTCCGTGTCAGAGGAGTATGCATGACAGGCAGCGAAAGAGCTGGCAGGGCAGTTGCGGAGCGAGCTGGAAGGAATTTGAAGAAGGCTGTCCTTGAGCTCGGTGGTTCGGACCCCTTTATTGTTCTTGAAGACGCAGATCTTGATGAGGCCATTCGCATTGGATTCGACAGCAGGATGGAGGGCATGGGCCAGGTATGCGTGGCTCTTAAGCGCCACATCGTCGTTGGTCGTGAGCGAGGCGAAAAGTACAAGGAAGGCTTTGCCAAGCTCATCAAGGGTATGAAGGTCGGTGATCCTAAAGATAGGTCTACCACTGTCGGGCCTCTCTTTGCTGAGATTGGTGTAACAAGACTTCAAAAGCAGGTCGAGGACGCCAAGGCTGCCGGCGCTACAGTTGTAATTGGCGGAAACAAGATTGATCGCCCCGGTGCCTATTTCGAGCCCACGCTCATTACAGACATCTCAAGAGAGAACCCGCTGTTTTTGGAGGAGGCTTTTGGCCCTGTGGCTTCTCTGTACGTTGTTGATACAGAGGAAGAGGCCATTGAGCTGGCCAATGCAACTCCCTTTGGCCTGGGCGGTGCGGTTGCCTCAGCCAACGTCGAGCGCGCCCAGCAAGTTGCTGCGCAGATTGAAGCTGGCATGGTGTTTATCAACTCTGGACTCAATGGCCACCCAGGTCTTGCATTTGGTGGCGTCAAGAACTCTGGTTTCGGTAGAGAGCTGGGCGAGCTTGGATTTCACGAGTTTGTCAACAAGAAGACGATTCGTGTGCATGAGAAGTATCTGTAAACTCGAGAAAGTTTAACTGTTATACGATAGGAATGAGGTATACTTGTGATTTCAGAAGATAGAGCTAGCAATTGAAGATTACTGAATGAAATAATTTTGTACGGATAACTTCGACTTGGGCGATATTCAATAATAGTATCTGGTGATAAAGAGAAGGTATGGACCTTTCATAGGTATGCAGTTGCTGCACATATTGCTGCATCGAATCAGAACGTCAGGAATCTAGCCGTAGCGAGTACAGGTTGAATTGAAAAACCTTGATTATATAAAATTTTTCCTTTACATATTACTCAATTAAAATCTCTGCGATCATTATTTTATGATTTTTAGATATGGAGCTCCATGTGGTGTAAATATGTGGGAAAAGTTATCCAGCACCCTAATTCTGTTATCCAGCACTCTAGCCAGTATCTATACGTGCTTGTAGGCTACTATCAAGTACTGCATCTGCTACATAGGTATACAACGTCTGCTATATTTGCTATATTAACTACTGCTGCTATATCTATGACATCTGCTACTGTTGCTACTATAATTTTAATATAGACTAGTCGCCTTATTAAGCCATAGCTGAGGGGCGTTGGATAATAAAACTGGGGTGCTGGATAACTGCTACCTTAAACATACATGTAGGCTGTATGTGAGCTCTGACAGCAATTCGTTCAGCGCCTCTCGCGCTGTAAGTGCCCTGTGCTTCAAGACAACACCCCCACAGTAGTCCTTGGTGCAGTGAGCTTTGAGCGTGCTCATATTTAGTTAGATTCCTCCATATCGACCACTACTGAGATAAAAAACAGCAATACAAGCTAATCATATTTCACACATTATCACCATGGTATGTTCATTAAACCCAACATCTCTCTCTCACTCAATAACTAAGTCATATAACCCAGAACAAAGACTCGTGCTTCAATTACGTGCACATGCATCGCTCCGGCGACGCGGATCTCTTTGAGGACTTCTGCAAAGACAAGCTCCCCGATGACGAGATTTACGTCCCGCCTCAGCATCGGCCCATCAACCCAGAAGACGAGGATGACGTGGTACCGGATCAGCACGCCGCATTTGGAATCCAGCGCGCGACGCAGCGCGTCAAGGAGCCCTCGTGGAAGGACCTGGGCTTGTCGGATTTAATGAGAAAGGGACCCAGCTCAGAGAGCAAGGCTGCTGGGCCGAGTAAGACGTCAAAGGCGTTGCCGCGGTGAATGCGATTTCTTTCTTTCTTCTTGGCGAGTCAGGATGATGGGGCATTTATACATTTTGAACCAAGCGGGAGTAGAAGCTCTACAGGTTTGGAGACTGGCATGGCGTTACGGCGGCTAGGAAGCTATAGTTATCAATCGGATTTTTTATCTCATCAGTTCTACATTGTGCAAACAAGCTACATTAAATTATCGAATTTGTCTACAGCCTGTAGTAGCCCTGAACCGACGTATCAATCAAAGCAGACGATTGCTGACCATGCCGCCAACTCCAAAACTCCAATCCATTGTGCCCATTCTGTCAAACTCCGTCTCGATAGTCTTGAATCAGCCATATCAAAGCGTTTAAAATCAAGTCTTGGCCAAGAAAGCCTCCCTCTCTACCACTTCGCTCCTGAACTTGACCAGGAAAACAGTCTTTCCGGGCCACATCTCGCCCTCTCCGACAGTATGTGCCGTCACCCTTGCAGGGAAGTCTGCGCCGTCACATACCCCTTCCACGACTCCAGCCACAAAGGCGGCGCAATTTAACTGGCTCATTTCGCGGGGTACGCTAATGTATTGGTTGACGAGCGGCTCGTTGTCGATAATCATGTACTCGTCTGGCTTCTCTGCATCCGTCGATTTTTCTAGTCTGTCCGCTTGTCTGCCGAAGAGATGCTGCCATACGTTTTGTTTCACGAAGTGGAGGAGAGCAACTATGTTTTGGGGCCGCAGCTGCGTCCGAACGGGCTCACGGTAGAGAAGAAGATCGAGGAGCTTGATGCCTATGGAGTGGCCCTGAACGTTGAGTCTAGAGTGTGTCATGACAACGTTAGTTTCCATCATGGTCTTGTCCGGGAGTTTTGATTCGAGAAGAGACCAAATGGCCATACCTGTGTTCCAACTCTTGGATTCCCTTTACGCGCTTCTGCGCATACGCGACCATCTCGGAGAACAGAAAGGCAAAGCTGGCCTGGCTGAGCTCGGACGCCTTGGTGCGGTTGAGCGGGCGGTGGTAGATGGTTTTGCCATTGCTGGGAACGCGGAGGCCGGAATCTTTGCCCGTGGAGGCGCTGGAGGGGAGAGACGACATCCTGAAGCTAGCGATTACCGGGCGGAATAGCGGCGCATTGCTGTCTCTGCGATGTGAGGGCTCTCAGGTGGAAGCGGACGAGATGCGGCGGCGATGAATTGATGTGAGGGATGGTGGCACTTGCATGTAGCTTGTACCTTTGTGAGAGATTCAGGACGTGGGGTTGGCTGACTGTACTTGGCTGTACGTACCTCCTGCCCACCCAAAGGGCGACTGCCTGGAAGGACGACGATTACAAGTCACTTTTCTTCCATATTCATCACATCTGCATTTAATTGAGCAAATTCGACAAGAACGCGTTATTATATCAATCATGGCCAAACAATAGGATATATCGAAAAATGGCCCTATGCAGTAAATACGAAAAAAGATAATTAAAGGCCTCCAATACCAATGCCTGACTCTCCGTGGCATCTACACCATGCGTGACACTGCCAATTACTTCGCCCCTTCAAATTGTCGACGGAATCCATATTCTAGTAACACCCACGGTCTCAAATAGTTCACTGAACGGTCAACACTTTGGAATTCGCTTCCTTCTGTCGCAGTGAAGCTTCCACCCATTCTGATACTTCATCCAGTGCTCGGCGCGGAAACTTTTTGCGCTTGAGGAGGAACCCTTGGATCTCTGCCGGGGAGAAGATGCCTTCTGGGATTCTTCGACCAAATTCCTCCGATATGTCTTTCATCTCTTCAGCTGTGACGGAGTCTAATTCATCAAGAGAGTGCCTGGGTGTTGGCTGGTCATTCATCTTTTCTACCACCTCTTCCACTCTTGCCGTGCCGTTTACCGTCTTCGCCGTCTCCTTCATGCGAGACGCCTCATACATTCGATGAAATAGCTCACCGGCCTGGACGCTGCTGGCATTGCTGAAATTAACTTGAACGTCTACTCTTCCAGGACGGATCAGTGCCTCGTCAAGAGCCTCGGGTTTATTGGTCGTCATGATGAGAATTCGGCCTTCGTGAGATGCGACGCCATCAATGGCATTCAAAAGTCCGGATAAAGATATGCCTTCCAAAGCCGCCGGGCTACTTTTGCCGAACCCCTTCTTTCTAGAGCTTCGCTTCTTCGGTTTCCTTTCGGGTTCGCTCTCCGACTCGCTGTCACTGGTCTCCGCCTTTCGCTTTTGCTTCTTTTTTCTATCCTTCTTGTCTTTGTCTTCCTTTTTATCATCTTCTACTTTATCCTCGTTTTCTGTGTTGGGGTCTCGTCGCAGCCCGGCAGTATCAATATCTTCCAGAAGGACTATGCATCTGCGCGGGAGTTTAGTGAATAGTGTCGCCAAGTCTTCTTCGTTCACGCCGGGGTCCTGCAGACTAATGACATATATATCGATGCCAAATACGCCCGCTAATGCAAAGGAAAAGCTGGTTTTACCGGTGCCTGGTGGTCCATGGAAGAGATAACCTCGCCTCAACGGAATTCCTCGAGATGCGTACCATCGAGGTGTCGAAGGATGCAGATACTCATTGATGTCGGACAGAATGTCGTGTTTTTCGCAAGAATCGAGGACTACTGTTGACATGGGTCTCACGGGGCGTCGTGCCACTTGCTGCCACATGTTATGATCTCGCCGTTGCTCTTTGACTCTTGGGCGATATATGGTTGTTTTCTGACGAGTGTCATTGTAATACAGGGCTTTGGCATCCGATAGCAGCTGCTTAATAGGGTCTTCACAACAGTCAGTGATAAATTCAGAGGAAAGGGCATAGCATACTAACCTATTGAGCGTCCGAAGCATGAAATCCTAACCTCTTCAAGATCCTTCATCGGGCCGCCCCAAGAATGAGTATTAACGAACGACTCCTTTTTCCGGTGGACTCTGAAATATGTTCCCTTGTGCCAAAATGCCGTCGAACCCATAGCAGGGACGAATCTAGGACTCTGTAGGCACATACGTCAGTTTAAATCGTTTCTCAAGTTACCTATTCACCAACAAATACGTACCGATTTAGCTGCTTGGTTGGAAAAGTTCAGGTACATGTTATCGCCACCGTCAACTTCGCCACCATTCGTCCAGAATAGTGCACCTTCTAGTTCGTCTTCTTCCTCCCAGGCACTCTTCCAGACAGTCTGAGCCATGAGATACTGGTTGTCTTTTATACTTGGATGATGAGATAACCATTTCATGAGATGCATATATATGTGGTCGTCTTCAGAGACGTACATGGCGCACATGAGATAATCGTCAACAAACCGCTGGATAGAGTCATAGATCTGTGAACCGATCTTTAAGGCACCCCATACGAATCCTAAAATGGCCAGGACCATTGACGGATCCAGACCAAATTGTGTGCCTAGAAGTCGATAAACGAAAAGGATCAGTTGCGCGAGAGGCGAAGCGTGACCGGTCGTTGTCAGTATGGTATCTACCATACCGCCGGCAACAAAAGGAATGTTTGAGCTGCTGTCTCCCCCCGCAGCATCCTCTCCTCTGAGATTGGTAGTGAAAGACGAAGCATTGAAAGATGATGTATTTGCTACAGGAGTGCTAAAGATGGGAGGAAGGCTCATCCTACTAAAGGAGCTGACGATGGACACAAGGGTCATGATGAATGCTGAGAGGCGTGAACCAAAATAGAGGTTCAACGAAAGGCAAGAGGCTTACTATTTGAATGAAAGAAAAAAGTAAGCTGGATATCAGCTTCTAGCTCAACACGTCATCCCATACTATCTATTTTCAGCAAGAACCGAATGGCGAAAACGAAAGACAAGCGGCGGCGGTAACTCCCACGCCCCTCGGAGACCCGATACTTTCTTGAGAAGAGCCTAGAAAGATTGCTAGGCCCAACGCACCAGTTGTCAGTTTCATGTTGCATGGTATGCTACAATATCAAGCTGCGTATGGGAATGACAGCTGCGACCTCTCTTGAGACCCAGCGAATGCGGTTCTGCCCAAGCAAAATGCCTGATCCCAAACACTCTTCTCCTCTCCTCTACTTTCTGCTTCCTGTTTCGGTTTGAAATCCAGACCTGAATTCAAGAACAAGGCCAGGGCACATATCTACAAGTACCATTTGTAGAGAGTCTGGCGCTGCTCTTGGTGGCGAAAACAACTAGAGGACGAGGTTATCCTCGGACTAGGCCGCGAGACTATGGTCCGCTATTCGTGGCTGGACAAGGCGGTTACTCGAGCAATCAGACGAAGGAGCCCTGCGACGGAATTCCGAACTGCAGCACCACCTTTTCAATCGCCGGCGGGTAATAGCGCCACTGGCCACGAAATAGCGCGTCGTCATCACTCTTGCCTCTCTCTAGTCTGCCTGGAGCAGGAATCTTCAGCGCTGGACCCTCGAGTCCATTGTACGCATGTGGCTCTCGGCCAACCAGCGAACAAAATGGCCCAAGTTGGTTAGAAACGTTTGGGGGAGCGTGCTATACCGCCTCTACACTTCTGTTGGCTTGCAACGTCTACTGCTGCCACGCCCACTGGGCAGTTTCTTCTTTCAATTTAGCGGTTCTCTCTCCATGGTAAGTTCATTTTCGCCTTGTTGTTCCTATTTGTTGATTCATGCTTGGCCTGCCGCTTGGTTGGGCTTCTCTGCTTTTGCTTTAGCAACTTGCAGTTTGCAGCAGATAGTCAGAACTTGTCAGAGTGACACGGGACGGATTGTCTCTCATGCAGTGTCATACGGACTGAAGACTGCGTCATGCGGTGGCCTCTTAAAGCGCCTTTGATTGATGGATTCGAAACGCTTCGGTGTCCGCCCAACGCATCGAGGCCAGACCTGAGTGCAACGCTGCCCGTCCATGTCAACAAGTGCGAAAATAGGGTACCTTTGTTGTGTGTAGACCTTTTTTTGTACAACGCAAAACGGCATCGGGTCTTAAGGCCGCGGCCGATACTTCTTTCTTTGGCATCTTATAATAGTGAGCTGGCCAACTGCAGGTCCTTCGGAAACGGTCCAACCAACGTGCATATCCCACGCTGGGGCGGTGCGGCTCTTACGGTCACCCGCTAAGCGAGGTGGAAGCTGTCCATAAGAGCTGGAGCGTTTTCAGGTTGGGCGTGAGCTATTTATGTAGTACTTGTCGTACCGACGCTGAGCAATACCTACTACTTAGGCTCTCGCTTTTGATCGACTCCAGACGAGAGAGCAGTTCCGATAGGCTGGGTCGACAAATCAGAGTGCAGCGCGATGGATGATGCGCACCCAACGTTACGTTTATAAATCGACATGTCAGAAGGAATGGCATTACTATCGTAATGTCATGGAGCATCTTATATGCATCCTCTGGACCCATTTGCGCTCCAACAACAGAGGAGTAAGGATTCCTACTGCCAAGTGGTCTTTAGCATGCAAGGAAGTCGATGGCATGCTCTCACCGTCTCCTGTTCATCTTCACGCCCGAGGCATAATTCTGGCTTTGTTGGCCCTAAGCCAGCCCCTCTTGCAGACTGCCTTGGCTATCAGACAAATCATGCCTGATGATATGTGTGTGTGCCCCTGTAAAACAGCATATAGTGCGTTTTCTCTTTGTCCGATGTATCCATGTATTATGCAGTCATGTGTATTACTGCTTTTACTAACGTATAACAAATCCCAAATATTGGTTGCCAACGATGGGCACACTTTCTGATCCTGCAATTTATTGGGTAAAAACGAAAAACAAAAGGACAAATATTCTATACCATGTCTAACCCACAGTCCGCCTGTCTAACACGACTGGTTATGACTCCTCTATCCGGCCAATGCTTGCTGCTAGTCTCACCGAAAATTGTTCCCGTTGGTTTTCTTCAAGCTTGAGCCTCAACTGTCGCCTCCTCGAGCTTTGCCGCTTCCAGCTTCTCTGCCAGCACACTCGTCTCTACCTCTGCCTTCTCCTCCTCGGCTGTGTACTTGAACCCCGTGACGCTCACGTCCGTACCGCCAGAGAGATACTCCTCGGACTCACCAACGGCCTTTCCAGCGGCTGCCCACCGCACCAGCTTCTGCTCCTGCTTCTGCTTGCACATCTCATTGAGGGCAGGCCAGTACGTCTCGTGATCGTACTCAAAGTCCAGGTCGCCGTTCCAGTCGGAGCTCCACAGCTGCTCCGCGGGCACATACTGCTTCATGTCCTCGTTGAACTTGAGCTTCTCCCGGGTCACGGGGTCAATGAAGGGGGTAATGATCTTGAAGAATCCATTGACAATCCAGGGCACTGTCTTTTGTTAGCTGGTCGTCTTCTCCCGGGGAAGTGTAGAGAACTCACCGTTGATGATGAGCGCCTTGCCCAGCCTCTCGGGATAGTGGTTCTGCAGAATATGCAGCACCTCCCTGGCCGTCGACACCGGCACGCTCGTGTTCTGGCGCTGCTTGCTGGGCTTGAAGTTGATCATCAGGCTCAGCATCTCCACGCCGGGCGGCATCATGTCGACGACCCGCTCCACCATGTAGAACAGGTGCTGGATCTGCCGCGGGCTGCTGTCCGTGTTCTGGCGGCCCGGGTTCAGGTACTGGCACGGCCGGCCCTGGCGGTCAAACCCAAGGATGATCTGCTTGCCCGTCTCCTGCTCCGGCGAGATGTGCTCCGGCGTGAAGTCGTCGATGCCGTACTCGCGCCGCCACGCCAGCGTCGCCAGCAGCCGCTTGGCCGCGTCGTCGACGGACCACTTGGTCGCCCGCAGGTATCGCAGCAGGCAGTCGCGCGTCAGCCACGAGAATTCGCGCTCCGTCAGGGGGCCCGACTTGTCCTTTTCCTTTTCGCACTTGACCTCGCTGAAGGCCTTTGCTTTCTCTAGCAGCGCCTCGTACTTGGCTTGCTGCTCTGTCGTGAGGTCTGGCCGCGGCACGGGTTTGGAGTCTGCGGTGGGAGCCGCGATGGGCGTTTTCCTGGGCCCTTGTGATGGTGATGCTGCAGCTGCGGAAGCCATTGTGATCTGTTTTTATTTTGTATGCCACGTGTGTGCTTCTATCCCTCCAATTAAAAGTCTATGTCGTAGACTGTTTTCGCAAATAATGAGTGAGAGCTTCACTGTGGTCGGTGAAAGGAGGTGAGGACACTGTGTATATGCGATTGGCGATAAGCCTTTTTGGCGGCTTGTTGTAAATCCCCCCTAATTTCGCTATCCTCGTACTTTGCTGCCAAGACAGCTTTCTCACTCCCTTTTCAACTGCAAATTTGAATCCAACTAAGAGTCCGAGAGAAAATTAAAAGAAAAGAATTATACTTTCAACCTTGCTGTCAATTAATTTAGAAAGAAAGAAGGAAAATATTTTGATCTCAGACGCAGACCAGAGAGGCTAATTTTTAAACACTGCAGCTGGGAATTTTGGAGTGCCCGGAACTCTCCCCTCCGGGACCGACCGCCGGACTGCCCAATCTTTAATTTCCATTACCCCTGCGTCTTCCCGATCTTTTCCTCCTCACGCCATCTTTCGTATTCGGCTTTCTTCTTGTTAGACTTTGCTCATCGTATAGCTGAATACGGTTACCTATGATTTCTTTATATCATCGCATTCTTATTGCCGCTATCTTGTACTACTACTATTGCCATCGGTAGTAGCTCTCTTATACTTGCACTTTTTCACACCATCTTTCACTTGAATCCATCCGCATTTTATCCCTGTTCAACATAAATCAAATGAGAACTATCGTTCATATGTATATAAACAATCATCACAGCTCCATTCGATTCTTCTTTTACTTGTAAAAATCAAGAGAGATTGCCATTTGTCTAGTCTGCTCTGTATCCTCAAAACTCTGAAAACCCCTCCAACTTAGATTCAACCAACCCATCCCTAATTTGCTCTCTCTCGAAACGCTCCAGTCGCTAAGAAAATTATATATGCACGACTTTCTATAACAGCAATTCATAAAACCCTTTCATCAAATTTCTCGCTTTGTTGTCTTTTTTCTCTCTTGCGCCTCTGAAACCAGCAAATTTGGAGGCCAGTCTCCCATTTCCCTTTGTGTCATCATTGCAAATGCCCCCGTCTTCCGTATACTAATATTAAATGCCGGCCTATTGTTTCGCCAACCCGCTTGCGCCCGTCGTACATGCTTCCCTCTGAACTCTGAAAATTAAGTAAAATCCAAATTAGTACGCTGCCCTGCTTCTGCTGGGCTCTCTATGCGGTTTGCGTGTTGCTCTCTCGTCTAGTAACCGATGGCTTGTTGCTGCATCGAAACCACAAACATTCATTAGATAGTAAAGTCTATTTATCCCCGGTTAGTAAAAGATACTCAATTTGATTTCGTTTCCTCAAGGTTCATTCAGGATAAACTTACTTGTCTTCTGCCAGCTCTTTCTGCCTAACGTCTTCAAATCCTTGCTGGCACTGCATCCAGGCGGCCGCTCTATCCTTTGGTCGAATCTTCTTGACCCAAAGTCGAAAGTCTCCTGTAACCGGTCGGTGATCGCTCACTCTTACTTCGTGCCGTCTATAGTCTAATTGCTGCACACGACCGCGTCCTCGGAACAAAAGTCGATCGCACCATGCGGGGCTTCTTCGTTTCTCGCTCGTATCGTATGTGTCTGTTCCTACGTCGTATTTGTAGGTTGGTGCAAACGTAATCGGCAGCTCTTCGAATGCTCGCAAGCGAAGGGCTGGGTTGCGGCGGCGCGCAACAAGCAGCTGGTCACGCTCAAGGAGCTTTGCCAGGTTGTTTTGCTCCACAGCCTTCACCACTGTATCTCGTGACATAGTGTCGATGCGGTAATTGAGGTCGCCATTCCAAATGCAAAGCTCATGATCAAGAATCATGGAGCCATCTCCACCGCCGCTGAAGGTGTCGATTCGACTTTCGCCGTCACGTTCGACGGGGAATAGGCTGGCTTCGAGAATGGCCGCCGCATCGTTATGGCGTGAGCTGGCCTGGGTCTGGCCCGCTGCCAAGTGGCAATTCACGAAACAGAGAGACGAATCGTCGACTTGGAACCTAACGGCAACGGCTCCCTTATTTCCATGAAGACCTCCCATACCTCGCTTCACCTCAGCTCCGCTCAGATGCGTTATCCTTTCCCTTAACGAGGCCTTGACAAAAATGCAGGTAAAAAGTCCAACCATAGGTGCAGTGTGCAGGAGATGGTATAGATGATCTCCTGGCATGTAGTCGTCCAAGGTTTTGAGTAAGAAGTCGCGCCAGTCTCGATATTGGTGACTCATTCGTTCCTGATCTGTCCCCTCTTTCTTTTTCGACTTAAGCAATCGCTTTGCTGTCGCCTTTTTATCTTCCAAGTCAACAAGTTCCTGAAACCCAAATACCAAGATGTCTGGGGAGCCGCTAGACTGCAAAAGGTCTTGGAAGAATGTGGCATCGCCGTTAGAGTATCGAAGACTATGAGGGGTAGAAGCGCCCGCATTCCATGTGAATATCAGTGTTTTGATCTCGTCAAAGTCGCAATATGTTGTATCCTTGGATTTCATCTCGTCTTCAAGCCAGTCGTCTTGCAACATGCCGTCCCACACTTTGATCCGGCTATCCGCACCTAGAGAAACAACTTGCAATTGATCGAGTAGGTAAGAGCTGGCAAAGTCCACTTTCATCCCCAAGATGGTACTGTCATGTGCTTGCCACTCCTTCAAAATAACCCATGGTGTTTGAGCAACGTCGTAGACAACAACCTTTCCCGTATTGTATCCCGCCCAGATATACTGACCAACACCTGATAGTGTATTGATTTTCCATGTGGTGACATTCACAATCGTCTTGCAAGAGTAGTCGGATGTAGACCAAATGCTGACTTTTCCATCAACGTGTCCCAAAAAGACTTTTCCGGGATAGCCTTTCATCAGCGTACCGGAGGTTACGTCTCCCGCTCCTTCTATTGTGATTGGCCTTGCCAAAACCTGAAATGGCCTGTGATTATCTTGAGTAGGAGCAAATATCCGTAATTGTTTGCCAGTCGCTTGCCAAAGCTCATCCCCAACCACTATTGAGAAAGTCTCTCCCTTGGGAATCTTGAAACTTTGATGAGGATAATTATTCAAATTCGGCTCTCCGCTGGCATCGGGACCCCAAACATGTAAGTTTCCGCCTTCGTCAACAGTCCACATCTCGTTCAGGTGTCGGTATATCTTGGTAACTTCCGACTTTCCATGGATACCCGGTTTGCTCATTGATATGCGCTCCGTCGCAATTTCAACTTCCATAATCTCTCCAAGATTAGTGCCAATCCAAACTTTGGAGCCTTCTTGATCGGGGTCACCGCTGGGTTTAAACGATACAGCCGTGGCCTTGACGCCTTCTGTGTGTGCCAAGCTGACAATTTGCTCTCCATCCAGCATGCTCCACACCCGAGTCAGAGGGCCAGTAGTGCAAACATATTGCCCGCAAACATCGAAAATACGAGGATCATACTTTGGTTGAATCTCATAGCATCCTTTCTTGATGAAAGGAGGTCGGCGGTTAGTGCTCGAGATGTCGGGGTATACTGTAATCTGGGCAGGGGGGTCGGATTTCGGAATGATCGCTTCGTTGGCAGCAGGTGCCGGCGCGTGTCTTACCACAGCAGTGGCCACAGGCGCTTGGGGCGTACGGACATCCAAGATAGCATGATCTGCTGTTGATACGTCCACCGTCGTAGATCGCCCAAGTGGCTTTACGGGTAGTTGCTGGGTAAGAGGACCGGAAACGACTCGGTTTGTGGGAGGTGGCGGAAGAGGAGTGGAAGCAGTAGCAGCCTGCGCCTGGTTCGGAGCAGATGGTCGCGGAGGTTTTGGGGGCGGCTTTGTTCCGTTATTTGGCATTGGATGCTGTGGGGGAATATCAGTAGTCTGAGGTCGTGCGGGCAAGGCAGGGCGGACATCCCCAGTGAGCTGAGGAGTAATTGGAGCCCTGACTAAGCCCAGAGCATTCGGCTCTCCATTGTGCGTTGGTTTTCGCACAGATAAGGATGGGCGGAGGGTAGACTGAGTAGGCTGAGTAGGCTGCTCAAATACTCCGGCCATCTGCTTCGTCCTATTCGGTCCATCATTCGGTTGCTGTGGCCTCGGTCGCAAGGGCAACTCTGGCGGATTGCTTTCCGCCCTGGCTTCGGAGCCTCGCGAGACGCCGCCAATTGGAGACGACTCCTGGGAGCGATTGGACCTTGAAACAGCCGACCTGCCTCTCACCTCGATCCCGGTAGCCGATCTCATCAACGTCGTCTGTGATCGTGGCGCTGGTGGCGGCGGCGGCGCAGGCTTCCAGTCCCTCTCTCGTTCCTTTTCTCGTTTTAGCTCGGCGGATCGTCTGGGAGGCGGCGGTGACGGAGCTTTCGAGATTCCTTGCTTTGGAGATCGCGGCGTTGCGGTACCACTACCACCCCCGTTGCTAGTAGGACTATGCGGTCGGCTCGGTATCCTGAGCGGCGTAGGAGATCGGCTCGGTGTGGCGGATGTAGAAATCGCAGCCGGACCTAGGAACGGCGACTGTTCACCGGGAGCGATGTTCAATGTGCTCCCCTTGGGGGGCGACAGAGGAGGTTGAACTGTAACTGCCGGTGGGTGAGGCAGCACCTGAGGCTTCAACGCAACAGGCGGCGCCGGCCGTGTGGACAGGGGAGGCGGTGGGATCAGTGCCCCTCTATCGCGGCTTACAGGAGACGCCGGAGCAAAAGCGCGGTCCTTGAGATTCGACGGCTTGACGGGAGCGATCGGGGAAGCAGGGCCATGGACAGAGTCTTGCCCCGTCTTGAGGGTCTTTAATCTGTCTGGCTTTGGCCCTGGCGAGAGTTTTCGCGGCTGGAGAGGAGTCGGAGCAGAGGTAGGCTGTGACTGCGACGGAGGGTTGACATTCATGTTCTCGAATCGGGCGAGCAGCGACGAGACGGGCCTCTGGCAGAGCGAACATGGTCATTAGAATCAAGGCATCTAGCGATGGGAGGAAGAGGACTCACGATAGAGGAGCCATCAGGCCCGTTGCCCTCTGTTTGGTCTATACTGGGGGAAGACATGGTTTCTGGACGGTGGGGTTCTGGGCAAAAATACCCATTACACCCGCAGCTTGGTCTCTTAATAGATCATACGCGCACTGAGATTTGGACGAGTATTCTGCAGGGCGCAAAAGTAAGATGTAGATGGTAAAAGGACGTGTGTTCGGACTTTCGTATAGATAGGCGTGGGAAATGCTGCAGTCTAAAGGGGCGTGAGGTGAGGATTTTCGAGGGGCCGATTGGATCGCGGTGACGAGTCTGAGTTCGGCTACGCAGCCTTGTTGATTGTGCAAAAAGGACCTCGCTGATCAACAACTAGAGCATCAAAGACGCTTCAAATGCACGACGAGAAGCGCACAAGAAAAGGGGGGAGAAAATGCTCCTGTCGCGGTCCTGGCAGTGAAATGGAAGAGCTACCAAGCTTTGTTGAGGTGCTTGCGTGGTCTTTAGGAAAACGCCCCAAATGACGATCTATGTCATATTCAGAAACCGGGCTTTTAATTTGGCACTGTAAATTGGATCTCGGTAAGGCGACCCCTGTACAGTGTGAGTTGTAGCGTCCACGGGCCGCCAGAGCGCTAAATTTGGCCCTCAGGGCTGCCCTGTAGCACTGACAGCCGGCACCGCCATCAGTTGAAGCTGCCGATGCGCCAGGCCCCGTTTGCGTCCATTGGGTGTATCACCGCCTTTGCTAAGCTTTTTGATCGAACGATGGCTTTCTTCTAGCATCGCATCAGCCCGGCTACTCGCAACTTGCCGTCTCCACTGCCCACGACATTCGACAGACTCTTTGGTATCACCGCAAATCTTTCAATCATCACAATGAACAGCGTATGAGTCTCTCTGCTCCGGGCACAGGCGTAGGCATTTGCTGACTGCTCTCTAGGTTCGATCTTTCTGGTACTACGAATAGCCCGCTGATCCCGGCTTGTCACTGCCTCCAGGAATTCTTCAATTGCTAACATTTCTTTCAGGCTCGGATGGGGCTCCCTCTTTGTCGGTAGGCAGATGAATAACATTTTCTTTGTCCAACGCTCGCAGCTGATATGAATTGTCCTTGACAGCCGGAGGCGGCGCCTACTACTTCGCTAAGCAGAACGTCAAAGAACAGCGCGTGGCCAAGCTCAAAGCACAGCGTGAGAAGCAGGCAGCCAACTGGGCCTTTGAACACGGGGAGCCAGCATCTTCCGGCAACGGTGTGAACGGTGGCGCAGCAAGAACCGATTATACCGGCTCGCCAAGTCAGGAAGCAGGTAGCGATCCCGCGGCAACAAGACATGCGCCAGCAACAGAGTCCGAGCAGGTAACCGAGAAGAGCAAATACGAGAGTGCTATACCGATGCGTACACGCAGAGGGGACCGTTTCAGTTAGAAATAGCAGAGAACGGAAAATCGTAGGGAGGGACGAAGGAGAGTTGGGCAGCTGGTCTTGGAAGTGCTTGAAGAGACATTGAGCTCGCCGCTGTATTCTATCATGGTGTAAAATATTGCCCTTTGCCGGGCTGCATGTCTATAGTTTTCGCGCCACACGTTGGGGACCTGGATAAGTCTATTTCTGCAACCCGAATCATTACTAGAATGGAATATTATTATTGCTCGAAATCAGAGCTGAATACTTACATAGCTTTGAGAACGAGGGAGTGAGACACATAGGAGGCGACATTCAGAAGCCTGACGCAATGAAGCCTTTTTTTTTTTTTTCTTTTGCGCCGACTATCTGGGGCCTCCCCGAATTGAGTATTAGAGATATTCTACCCAGGCTTTGCACAAATAGCTCATCTCTGCAGCTTCCAAGAGGAACATCATCTAGAAAAGTCCCCATTGCATGCACTTTTACCTCTTTCACTCAAACACGCTTGCATCAATTAGCCTGTCCCTATCGCGAGCTTCGGAGCTCCCTCAAAGCCACGGTGGGGAGCACTTCCGTAGTTTTCCCGCTACTTGCGACACAGACGCCGAGGCTCCAAGAATAAATTCCAGCTCGCCTTGTCTCGCTTTACCAAGGCCAACCAAAAAGCCGTCTTTGCCTCAATTTGTGAGGCCTTGCGAGAGCAGACTCTCTCTCCGCATCCCATTCCTGGGTCGCGCCTCTTTTCTCTCTTTGCCCACGATGGCTTCTCCCGAGCTGGCCATCACCAAGGCGACGCTGTCGGCCACGCTCTTTCGCGCCGACCCGACGTCGCTGAACCGCGCCGCGGTCGATTCCTTCTTCACGCTGCTAGACGACGCCATCATCCAGTGCTCCCGCCAGAACGTTCAGGTTTGACTGACTCATTGCTCGCCAAGCATATTCGTCGCAATACCGTCGCTCATGTTTGCTAAACTCCTTTCCTCGGGATTAGAAATGCAAGGCTTGGATAGTCGACAACGTGGTCCCATCCGCCGCGCGCTGCACAGCCTTGGGCAAGTTCTGGGCCGTCCTGTCAAAGAATCTGGCCGCGGAGAGTGACGGGAAGAAGCGCCGCAGCGCCAAGAGACGGAGGCTGCACCTCCTCTACATTGTCAATGATGTCCTTTATCACGAGGTTGTGCGCCAGAGCAACCGCAAGCTTGGAGAGACGTGGGCTGGGGTTTTGCCTGCCATGATTGGGAATGCGGCGGCTTTCGACAATTGCCCCAAGCATAAGAGCAAACTCAAGGGTCTGATTGATTTGTGGGAGGAGAAGGGGTACTTTACGCCAGAGGTAGTTGGGCAGCTCCGCACAGCTCTCGCAAACGGCTCTGCTGAGATTACGGCTGTCAATCTTGAGCTTTCGGAGAGCTCTCTAAAACTCGCCAAGGACGCGCCGTATACTCTACCCTCCTTCCATGGCGATGCTTCCATCCCATGGTACGATCTTCCCGCGGGTACCTGGCTACCTCACATTACACCAAACTCTTCCAGGCCCATGATCCCCGATCAAATCCGCCCCATTCAACTCGCGGCAGGGCCTGCGGAGAAGCGAGTCGTGGATGCTGTCAAGATGCTGCTGAAAGACGCAGACTACATCTACGCTAAAAAGACCGAGCCGAGCGACGACCTACAGACGGGGTTCAGCGAACTAGGCGAACGTATCATCGTGGACGAAATTACGGGCGAGGTGATTGGAGGGAAGAGTTACTACGGCTGGTCTCGCCAGTTCTGTGAGCGCATGAGAGAAAGACAGAAGAAATCTGCAAAGGCATCCGGAGAACGCTCACAGTCCGCATCGAGATCACGACCGAGATCAAGATCAAGCAGCTACTCTAGAGGTCGATCTCGAAGCTCATCCCCACCTTCGTTCAAGCGACCTCGGCTTTCAGCGCGCGACAAGAGTCGTAGTCGAAGTCGCAGTCGTGGTCGCAGCTACAGCCGGAGTCGAAGCCGTAGTCACAGCCGGAGTCGAGATGGCAGCCGTAGCCGCGGCCGCCACAGCCGCAGTCGGACCCGTAGTCGTGGGAGATATAACAGCAACGACGCATCCAGTTCCAGATACCGGTCGACTTCACGCCAGTACAATGATCGCTCTCCTCAACCGCCTCAACCTCAGGCACCGCCTAATATGCCGCCAATGCCATTCCCTCCTCCTCCCAACGCCATGGCATTTCCGTTTCCGCCTCCCCCTCTGCCGGGATTTCCACCACCCCCGATCCCTCCTGAAATGATTGCTCACTTCATGAGCATGAACCAATTCCCCGGCGGCCCTATACCGCCACCGCCACCGCCACCGCAGCAGCAGCAGCAGCAGCAACCTCAGTCATCTATGTACAACAACCAGTTCGGGCGCGGAAATGGTGGCTTTAGGGGTCGTGGAAGAGGCGGATATGGCCGTGGTGGCTACAGAGGGCAGTACTAGTACCTAATATCCAATGTCTGTTGGAGATGTTAGTTTGCGATGCAGGGCGTTCTGGGACCTGGCAATGAAGTTGCCTTTGGGATTGTGTAATGGTTTGTCGTAGTATCAGCTGGCTGAAAACATGGGATGATCTAGGCTATCAAGTCACAGAGAAATAGTAACAGCTTCTACATCAATTGAATCTAATGAGATTAACATAACTAGTAGTGGTTTCTCCATACCGTCAAGGTGCCGCCTTCACGATTACATAGGAGAACAATACATCACTCTACAAAAGAAAAGCCTCATAGAGATAAGAATTCAACTATAAAAGAGATAAAAAAGGCAAGTAGTCTATCCGAGTCAAGTACAATCAAGTACACACGCGCACAAGGAATTAAGAAAAAAAAACACGTATGTTTCCTTCTTCCCTCTCCCACAACAGCCACCCAGCCAACCAAATCCATCACGTCGAAACGAAAAGCAACAAAAGAAAAATAAAAGTCAAGTCCCAAAGCCCTTCCACCCTCTCACACACTCTTTCTCGCCGCTCTTTTCCCTTCTTCCCAAAATATGGAAAGAAACAAATGCAACTGCTGTTTCGCTAGCGTATGCTCTCTCCTCGATTTTTCTTCTCCTCCACGTCCTTTCTCTCCGTCAACAACATACCTGGCTTTTTCTATAGCCCAAACGCAACTTTTTTTTTGTATCTCACTTCTGGTCTGCTTCCATTTCCAAAGAAAAGAAAGGAGTAGTAATGTTGTAAATATTCTTCTCTTTTTTCTCCAGTGTTTTGAGATTTCTCTCTCTCTCTTATGAAAAAGGGAGAAAAGAAAGAGTAGTAAAACAAATATTATTGTATCAACCCCCTGCCATACACGAATGCTGCTCAATATTGGTGGTTTTTTGCAAAAGCCCTGCAAGTGAATGCAAGTGGCCATGAGAAAAGAAAAAAAGAAAAAAAGAGAGAAGAAAAGAGAAGAATCATCAACATTACTTTGGGTTACAGCTCCCTTTTGTGTAGCATTAGGCAGTCCCCTTTAGTAACCAGCTTTGACATTGATCCGCCATCCAAAAGTGCCTCCCTGTATGTGAAGCACAAGTTGATAGTCCCAGAATCGCAATATTAGTACTTTCTAAGGGCCTTGTAACAAAGAGGCTTGTTTGTCGAGGCAAATTTTCACTAAGAATAGAGAAAGAGGCGAGAATGGAAGATCCTGGATAGACTGAATCAAGAAAGACGAAACAAAGGCTAAACCGCGATGATAAAAGGACCTGTGTATCACACAACGAGGCTATCTGCTTCGGTTGGACCCTACGGAACCTTGTCGCTCATGTTGCTGTCGTCCGGTAGCATCTTGAAGCTTTAGCGAATCGAGGCGCTTCTGGTTATCCTCGGCAGTGTCAACTTCGTCAACCCGTGGGAGGCTTCCTCCGCGAGCCCTGCCAGGGTCCTCAACTGTGGCCAGTCCCAGTGATGCTCTTCGCTCGTCAGCTTGCTGGGATAGAGCAGCCCACTTTCGCTCTCGCAGCGCCTCTCGGGCTGCGGCGCTGTTCTGCTGCTCTGTATACTCATGAGAGCAATCATCAAAGAGCTGAGGGTTGATCTCCATGAAGAGTTTCATAGCGTTGTAAACCATGCCGTGAATTGTCCTTTTATATGTTAGTTCATGTAACAGGATCTCAAAGCTCAGCATTGCAGTAGTAAACGTACCTGTTCCAATGGCCCTTTGAGTTTTCGTAGAGAGGAGCAAACATGATGGGGAGGATAATTTCCACGTTATCGCTTACGAGATTGCAGAAGTATTCGTTGTTCCAGAAGTACAACGCACGCTCGGCGACCTGGAAATGGGGGCTCGCCACAGACTTGGCAAGCTGGTGGAACAAAGGCTCTTGGACCTTGGCGAATTCAGCGGGATCCATGACCTCAAAGATGTCTTCAACCTCATTCAAGAACATGACCTCCTTTGTACTGTTAACCTTTGGCCAGTATCGCAACAATCCAAGGACAACCTATCGAGTCTATCGTCAGTATTCCGTTCTAGAACATTACAAGTTGAGGGAGTAGTTGCGTGTATGAGTCTACTCACATCTTCGGTGAGGGATGCATCCTTTTCCAGGAACTGCACAATACAATAAGCGAGTTGAGGGTGGTACATGCTCAAGCTCTTGGGCTTGTGAAGCGGAAGCAAGACTCGGGTCAAGAAGATCTTATGTTCTTCCTTCAAAGGCAGGGCAAAGCCATTGATAATGGAGCCTAGGATTTCTAGAAGCTCGGCAATGCCGTTGAACCTCTCCGTTTCATATGTGAATTGGAAGAAGACGTTGTTGATGGATCGTCGGATAAATGATCGCAGGTTGAGGAACTTGCCGTAAATGCGATGGAGAGTCGTCTTCAAGAAATCTCGCTCGCGAGGATCCTCAGAGTCAAAGAGATCTAGCAGCTGAAGCACGAAGCTGTGGTCAATGTATGCCTTGGCAATGTTGGTGTTAAAGTCCTGGCTTTCAATGAAGCGCAGGAAAAACTCGTAGACGACCTGGATGTGCGGCCAAGCAACCTCCAAGACGGGCTCATCCTCCTCCGGATCGAATGCCTCGCCTTGGGGGTTCAATGGCGGCGGGATTGGTCGAAACAGATTCTTGCTGAACATCTCGACAACTCTGGGATACATAGGCTCAGTGATGACCTGTCTGTTGTTGGCAACGTAGTCCAGCAGCTCGTGGAGAGCTAGTCGCTTGATCTCTTTGGCTTTCATGTCACCACTAGCGTCGTTAAAGTCAAAGATGACATTGCACTGATCAATCTTTTGCATAAAGAGCTCCTGGCGCCTGTTAGGCGGTACCTCGTGGAAGCCCGGAAGTTTCTCCAGCTCGCGATGGGCGGAAATGTCGAATCGAGATGAGTGCTGTCGCTTTGGTGTCCGCAGGCCCTCTGGGATGGCATCTCGGTTATCCATACGATTGATCATCAGCGACTTTTGGCCGGCCTTTGGGGGCGCCAGTTCGTGAGGCATTGTTTCGGTGGCTCCAGGGGGAGGGATGTGCTAGAGTGAAGTAGATGAATTAGCATCACAATCTTGGTCATTCCATCATTAGTCGGCGTTTGGTAATACTTACCCCTGGAGTCGGACTGATGACGACGGTTGGGGGACCTCTACCACCCGCGTTGGCGCCGTTGGGACTGCCCGCGCCGCCCATCGGTCCAAATCGATCGAGGCCCTGCTGGCCAGCACCAAGGCCCGAGGGCTGATTGGCACCATGGTCACCCCCAAGAGCAGAGTTTGGGGGCAGCGGCTTGTTGCGAGGGTCGTTGAGGGTCGATGTCGAAGACGACGGGGTCAGGACCGGGGACTGGTTGGCATCTCGAGACGAGGGAGACGAGGTCCCATCCTTGGAATCCTTACTCTTCTTGGAGGACTTTGCGGCGTCTTTGCCTCGCGAGAGCTAGTCACACACAATAATGGTCTGCGTCAGCCGATGTGCGCGCGACGGGCGTCAGGAGGGATGGAAGCGGGAACTCACTCTCTGGCTGAATCGCTTCATCATGGCGTGTGAAGCTATCTCTATCTCTCAGTCTCACTCAGGCAATAACGATATCGAAGAACCGGAAGCCGTCCAGCCAGCTCCGTAGCCGCAGTGGGGTAGACGAGGCAACACAGTCGGGATGCGGAGCGGAGGTGAGGCGAGGCTGGGCGGGCGAAGGGGGGGACCAACGCCAGCTATGCCGGAGAGCGAGAGAACGGCGTCGTCAAGCCGCAAAGGCGCGTGTCGATGGAGGCGACGGGCTGCTGAATCTCGACGTCGGAGCAGGGAGAGGCGATTTCAACCAGGACGAGGCCGAGTTGGACGCTGGAAGCTGGAGGCTGGACGCAGGAACGCGGGTCGCAGGGAGCTGGTCGAGGAGGAAGAGGCAGGGGGGGCTCAAAGTGGTGGCCACGCTTTAACCACCGGGAATCAGGATTGGGGGCGGTCCAGCTGCGCTCAGCGAGAGGAGCCAATTGTCGACTGGGCGCGCAGAGCCGGTGTCGAGAGACGATGAGTGGTGCTGTGGAGGCCGTGGGTGCTCGATGTCGGCCAAAAGAGTGGGAGGAAGAGACAACGGCGTGTTGTAGCGATGCTGATAGAGAGAGAGTCTGTACAGCGTCAGTGGCGGGCTCAGATTGGATCAGAGCTAAGAGACAGACGGCGCAGCAGCTTGGGAGGTTTAGCCGTCGAGGCGACGCGGGGGAGTTGCTGGTCGTGCTTGGGCAGTCGAGGAGGCTCCAAGGCTCTGGACGCTCTTACAGTAGGGTCTTGCGGGTATCTGTTCAGCGATCCGGCAGCCGTAGGGGCACTGCCATCTACCTGTAACTGCCCACTAAAAGCCGGCCGACCTGTAGCAGTGGGGCTGCTGTCCCTGTACCTAAGCAGGATTGAGAACAGCTGAAAATAGCCAAAACGAACCAGCAGAACTCGCAAAACCGATGATGGCCAGCTCCAAACTTGCTAATCAAACTCAATGGCCAGGACACCTTTCTGAATCTGATGCAAGCCGCGCTTCTCTCTGGAGTCGGGGCACTCTGTATTGCCAGCTCTGAGGCCATTCGCTTACAGTGTTTTGCACTGTACCCACTGGCCAATCGGAAGCGTTTCAGCCATCGCCAGCAAGCGCGTGATGCGTAATTACGTACCTCCTAACTGGGGCCTCAATTTAAAAGGTTGCAGCATACGGTGCGTCGTGGCTAGGCCGCATACTGTACTACTGCTATACTATACCGTCCCCACAATTCCAGCAGCTCCCGTTGCTGTTTGAAACTGCACGTTCAATTCGTGCAGCTTGAGCTCTTCCAGACTGCAGGGGTCTTGTTCAGCACCCAGGACAAAATCTTGCTATGCTCTCCATCTGCCTGATAAGCTAAGCTTCGACTCTTATAGGGATATATCATCTTCGGAAAAAAAAATTGGATATTAACAACAGATTAAAGAAGGAATAAATAGAGAAAAAAGAGATATTTCATTTGCGATGGCTTCATCTCGCCTAGAGGCCGGAGATGGCGTCAGCTCACAAGACATTGCAGGAGAAACAGAGAATGGCGCCCCTCGATACGCCATACCGCGACGAGATCTCACAGCCGTTGAGATCCCAGCGGTTGTTGAAAACATCGACCGGGCTGTCAGGGCATTTGGGAGAGTGCCTTCACTTAGACATGTAAGTATTTGACCCGCGGCTCATCTATTTGGAACCTACTCACTCATAAACAATCTTTTATCATAGGTTCTAGATCCTCAGAGAAATTCAGTGCCGTTGTATATAAATCCAGAGGAGCCCTTTTGCCCGCCAATCATGTCACATAATGCCAGGTCTCACAACATCGTTCTCAAAGTCACAGTCCCCAAACGCACTGGAAGGAAGCGCAAGCGCGGAACAAACGAGCCCTGGCAAGGCGATGTGGAATTCCAAGGCATCGACCCATCGGCCCCAGCATCGGAGAATGTTCGTTCCATAGGGCGTCATGACGATCCAAGACTTCTAAGGCGCAAACTAGAAGACACTATCGGCAAATATCACGTCGAGGCTGCGGGCTTAATCAAGCACACGCATCGCTTCAGGGGCTTGGCTGACTTTTACTGGGACATGGACAAATCATCATTTGCACAGAGATTTGTCGATCAAGTTCTCCCCGGAGATGGTATTTTGAACCTGTTTCTCTTCAACTTCACAATTTGGTATTGACTATTATTGCAGTTGAAAAAATTAAAGACTTCAAATTCACGCCTGGCATCGACCAAGGCTCGAATGTGGACATTATTCCACCACCCATCTTTACCCACATGAGTTTGCCATTCAACTATTTCTACTCACAAAATCCCTATGTTCGTTTGACAGAGGATGGCGGTACCGTCAATACAACGGCGGTCAAACAAGTTGGTCATTTCATCGGAACAGAAGATCCTGCTCCTGCCGGTCCCCAAATTCCTCCAGACATGACAGATCCACGCATGGTGGAGGTTATTGCCCAGCTTGAAGAAGCATTTGCGTATCGCCCCGTATGGACTCGACGATCTCTATTGAATCATCTTGCTGGCAAGCTCCGAAACTGGAACGAGCTTAAAAAGTATCTGAACTACGCGGCTTACCAGTTCAAGGGTGGGCCATGGAGAGATGGAGTCGTTCCCTATGGAATCGACCCCAGAACTGATCCCAAATATCGCATTTATCAAACCCTCATGTTCAAGCTTCCCAAGCAGAAGCGTGCTCGCAAAGACCAGACCTGGCAGTCGCTTCGCAGAGCCCAGATGGGCCGAACAAAGGAGTTTGTAGAAGAGCTATCGGCCAGCCATACGTTTGACGGAGAAACATATCACACCGATGGCAAGGTGTGGCAGGTGTGCGATATTACGGACCCGTTGCTCCGCGAGCTTTTGGATAATGCAGAGGTGCGTCCTACGTGGGATGTCAGCAGCGGATGGTATCACGGAGGCTTGTGGGCAAAAGTCAAGGCCATCATGAAGACGAAACTGGTGGCGATCCAGTTTGGCCGACAACTCACCAAAGAGGACTTTGCGCCAACGCTGCAGTGTGGAGATCAGACTCCTATGCGGACTACGTCGGCAACCTTTCACCTTCCATTGCCCAATTTACACCTTACAAACGAAGAGCTCACGCAGCTTCGGGGTCGAGAACCTTCGAAGAAGAAGAGTCAGGTTTATAACGTCAGGGTTCGTCCTCGTACTAGAAGGCCAGATGCCGATACCGAGGAGCAGTCGGTCGTTACCTCTCACGATGCCAATGCAGACGCAGATGTGGACGCAGAGGCAGAAGCTGCTAGTATCCTTGGAAGAATGGAGTCCCATAGTGAGGGTTCCGAGGCTGGCAGCGATGCTGATGATGATGATGATGATAATGATGATGATGAGGATGATGACGAGAACGAGAACGAGAACGGTTCAGAAGAAGACGATAGGATGGATCGCACTGGTTTTGAAAGGGATGAAGATGATGAAGATGGTTTCGGTGAGCTGGAAGATGAGAGGTAGGTGGCAGAGATGACAGGTATTAGAGACGATAGAGATAGCCGAACACATCTCAAACAATTTCAAATTCCTTACGCAATACATAAGGTAGCTAACAAATTAAAGGCTTCTCCTCTACCTACCTAGTACCTAACATAAATCATAACCGAGCATTTCTCAGCTAAAAATTGATCAAGGTCTATCTTGCTTTACCGGCATACTTCCACACTCAAGCTTACAAACAGGCGGACACTCTGCATGTGCTGAAACAAACATCAGGCAGGGGCTTTTCGTCTGTTCTAAAGCTCCTATTCACGCGCGTGGCATTCTATTGTGCACTCGTCAACAATAGAGGTACCGACAGTGCCTCCCTCACAGCACTGAGGCCTGAGATTACACCTCCCGACTCGCCCAGCGCCTACCCTCTTTGCCGCTGCCCTGAGCAACAGATGCCTTAGGCCGCCTTGTTACGGTTCCTGGGCAGCATCTCTCTTCTATAAAGCATCTTTCCGTAGAGATAATCCTAATCCTTCCTTCTACTTCCAATTCAGCGCCTCACTCCTATTGTTCTGCTTCCTTCCAATCACATCTTTGGAGCCGCAGCCACCCAAGACCAACAGTCTGACCAATAGATCTTCCTTCAACTTGGTTGAGCCAGTTTTATCATCTCTCAGAATAGCGCTGTCATCCCAAATCTCTAGCAATATGGACTCAGACAATGATCCTTTCCCCGACGGCGAATTCCTCTGCAACCATTGCCATAAATCATTCAGAGTATGGGAAGATCTGCTGAGGCACAAAGCACAACAACGAAATGACGATAAGGAGGATCATATCCACTGCAAGATTTGTGGACGTGATTACAAGACGCTGGCTGGAGAAATGCTACACATGCAAGCGGTGAGACAATCTGAGAACAGGCAATAGCTCTCTAAGAGAAGGCGCCCTCCTCTAACACCGCCGTAGGAACATCCTCTTGAGCAAAACCTCGACTGTCCCGGTTGCGGCCTTGGCCCCTTCACACGTCTGAGCAATTTGATTAGTCACATCGAACGCGGCTCTTGCCCTCGTCTCGACACTACCACTCTTGATCAACTCCGAGAGGAGAAGCTCGAGTTCCCCAGACGCTTGGAGCAACTGACCCAAGAGAAAGTCAAGGGAAACTACATGAACTATATGCCATCGGCTGCTGCAAACAGCACAGTCTCGGCATGGCATGTTGACAAGGAACCAGAAGCTTTTGAGATGGTCAAAGAAGACTTCCCAGCTCTAGTCCCAGCTCCAGCAACTGCAGAGGATATTCGCATTGAACCCACAGGAGCGGATGCATCCAACAAATTGGATCTTTGCAGCGATGAAACTATCAATACGAATGGCAAACAACCATTTTCGTTTAACCTTCCTCTTCGGCCGGCCGTGAAACGAGATGAGACAATGGACATTGATACCAAGCCTAAAGCCCGACCTCAAATCGTGCTTCCTTTACGACTGCTCAGCGACAGCAAGCGCAATGTCAAAGATGGGCAGCACAATCAGCAAACCTCGACTCAAGTTTCTACTCTACCAGCTTTCAAGTCTGGCATAACCACCGTCGTCGCAGGTATGGATCCTGATGATCCTAACAACCCATCTTTCAATGCGGCTAGCTGCTACTGCTCCATTACGGAGAGATTCAATTGCCCAAAGCGACTTTGCGGGTAAGATTAATATTGCCTCGTGTTACAATCTTGCTCGTAAATAGCTAATGACAATACATAGGAAGACATTCAAGACGGCAGGTGGTCTTATTGGCCACCTCAAATCGCCCTTTCACGGAAATAGGAAGTATAGATGCCCAAGCTGCCTCAAGATTTTCAAGACTTTGACTGGCATTACCTCGCACGCTGAGGCCAAGAGCTCCAAATGTCAGATTCAGGATACCGCCCAATATGAGACGTTTATGGACCAATTGACGGCGGGGTTGGTCGACATTGAGAGAACTCGGTTCCAGGGCGGCAGCATCATCTACAAGACTTCCGAGCAGATGAAGCAGAAGCTCCGTGGTAAACCCAGCAAGGAGAAGAATAAGTATCCTAAGGATACTGAAGATGGGAAGGATTCCTACTGGTAGAGGAGGTGTACATTTTGTTATTTGCTTTGCCGAAGAGCTCTTTGCTATTTCGAGGTTTGATGAATTCGGCAATATCTTTCACTTGGTATTTGAAGCTAAGGACCGCGCCAGACATTGGCACGTAAAGAGGACCATCACTATTAATAATATCGAGCAAGAGCATTCTAGAGAATCTGATTGATAAAAGTTTTGATTTTGATGAAATTTTGAAAACATGCGCCTTTCATGATATTGCTCCTTGTTCTTATATTTAGGCAAACATTTGGGACAATATCCATGGATAGAAACGCTGCAGGGTACTAGTATTCCATTGTCTGCGTAAATGCTACACAGCTACAGCGCCAACAGGCACTGGCAGCCCTACAGGGTTAAGCGTCTCAGCCGGCGACTCGGGACATTTCCCGAAATTCAAGCTGCGCCCCTGGATGACCTAAGCATCCATTTCAAGGTGTACGGATTGAGCATCTCCCTAGGATTAGCAGTCAGATTGATTACGAGTCGCAATCAACCGCGCAGCCCCGGCGTCAAATGTGCGAGTTGACACATTGCAGCTAATTTCCACCGCCGGACCGAATGGTTGAGAATCCGTTTCGAGGCCGACATTTGGACGAACGAGAGACGGGATCAGCGACCGTCGATACGGACGACTCCAAAATCACGATTATCCCAAGCGCACAGATACAGCACGCAGGGGAAATAGGAGCAACGAAGCAGCGCCAGGACGCGAGCGAGCGCAAGCGGAGACGTCGGGTTGCCGGCTATTTTAATGGAAGACGAGTCGTTAAGCGACAACCCTAGTATGGCGTTCCGTTGGGCGCGCAGAATCGAGCGGGTGTGCTGCACCACGGCCAGATACTTGCCGCTGGCGTTTGTCTACAGCTTGACGTCGTGGGCATGTTGGGTGATAGTTAGCATCGGCAGGGAGACTGAGAGGAGCCGCTGGATAGGTACGTGGGAGATTTAAGGTTGTGGTATCTATCGGTTTGCAGGAAAGGAGGAAAAAGATGGAAAACTCGCTGACACCACGCACAACTACGCAGGCTCAACGTCTTCCTTTTTCGGAGTTGCGCTCTATCTACTGCTCAACTGGTCCTACACGACAGCCGTCTTTACAGATCCTGGAGCAACAGTCAACGCGGACGGCTACGGCCTTCTCCCCACAAGCGGTGGCCAGAATCGCGCAGCAACGTCCTTTACAGTTAAGAGCAATGGCGAGATTCGATTCTGCAAAAAGTGCCAGGCGCGGAAGCCGGATCGCACGCACCACTGCTCGACGTGCGGCCGATGCGTTCTCAAGATGGACCACCACTGCCCCTGGCTGGCGACGTGTATCGGGCTGCGCAACTACAAGCCTTTTCTGCTCTTCCTGATATACACCACCGTCTTTTCCTTTTACTGCTTTGCGGTCAGTGGTACGTGGTTTTGGGTGGAGGTGATGGACGACTCCAAGTATCTGGATACGCTGCTGCCAGTCAACTTTATCATGCTGGCAGTCATGAGTGGAATTATTGGGCTTGTCGTGGGCGCATTCACAACGTGGCACATCATCCTGGCGCGCAGGAACCAGACGACGATTGAGTGCCTGGAGAAGACGAGATATCTGTCAACAGTCAAGAGGACGCTCCACCAGGCACAGGGCCTCGCCAACGGAATCCCGCAAGCGAGACAGTTTGTAGACTTTCATGCGAGCGCACTGCCTGGCATCACACACCGGGAAGAGGGCGAAGAGCGACGTTCGACACAGGAACCCCCCCGTGTCCAGATGTCGTATGAGGAACTAGAACGATATCAGAGCCGCAAGCGGTATGAGGAGTACCTCGACGAACAGGATTCAGAGAAGCTGCCCAATGCTTTCGACCTTGGCTGGAAGCGAAACCTGCTGCACCTTTTCGGACCCAGCCCGCTGCTGTGGTTCTTCCCGATCTGCAACACGACGGGCGACGGCTGGAGCTGGGAGGCCAATCCCATATGGGTCTCGGAGCGCGAGAGGCTGAGAAGCGAACGAGAACAGCAGCGACAGCGAGAGATCAACGCAGGCTGGGGACACGGCGAGGACATTCCCTCAGCGACCGCGGACGTCACCGGCAACTACCACAGCCGCGCACCTCTCACGGGAGCCAACGGCCGGGTGGCCAACGGCCGGGTGGCCAACGGCCGGGTGGCTAACGGCGGCGCGAGAAGGCCGCAGAGCAAGGCGGACCGCATTCTAGGCAGAGACCCGAACATGTACGCCGACTCGTCGCAAGATGTACCCCTGCGCAGACTTAGCCCGCGGGGCCATGCGGCGCCACACGACGATGATTTGCTGGACACGGACGACGAAGAGCTGGGCACTGCTAATGGCAACAAACAGCACCAAAGCCGGCTCGAGGCTGAGCGGGTGGCCATGAGCGTGGTGACCAACACACGGCCGTGGGGACGCGGCGGCGCGAGCGGAATGCTACGCCAGGGCAGCCAGCAGAGCGGTGGTGGCAGCGGCCATAGCAGCCGTGTGGTGAGCCCGAGTACCGAGCAGAATGACGATGGAGTGGATTGAAGTCTCTCTTGACTTGCGTCTGCTTGTCCTTTTCATTGACTTGCAAGAAATATTTTATTAATCTATTCTTGTTCGACATAAACTATGCCTATCATCTTTCTATATGGCGAGTAGTTTATTCGATTTTTTTTTCTCCATTACTGGTTTTTAAGTTATTCTATTCTTTTGCTCTTTCTTCTACTTTTTTGTCTTATTACAGCTTTTATGAGGAATTTAGAAGAAGATTGTTTGATGGTTGATCCTAATCATTTTTCGTCCCAGCGATGAAAAGAATGAATGAGACTCATTTTAGATGGAATACAGAGTACGCGGCTGAGGATGGAGGAGGAGCAGGAAGGGCTAATGAAAATCAGGGAATAAAGGGGGAAGAGGACTAAGTTGTTGTTTTTTGGACGCCACTCAGCCTGTCCTTTATTTGATGAGAGCGGATGTCTGCATCATAGCTAGAGCGCCAGATATATAGCGTTGATATATGAGTTAACTGATAATGTATGGGTAATATACGAAGCTACTTAGGTTGCCGTTCAATTTGTTCTGTATGAAGGATGGTGTTTCCTCACTCCTTGTCTCTATTTGGTGAAAGCAGATGTCTGCATCATGCTAGGGCGCCAGATATGTATAGCGTTGGTATATGAGTTAAATTGATAGTATATGGGTAATATACGAAGCTACTAGTTTGCTGTTCTATGTTGTTCTATATTAAGACGATGGGATGATATGAGTTAACTGATAATGTATGGGTAATATACGAAGCTACTAGTTTACTGTTCTATGTTGTTCTATATTAAGATGGTGAGATGAGCTGAGATGAACCCCCCCCTTTTGTTGTAATTGTATAGAAGCAACACTTGTCACTATTCTGCGCGAAGCTGTTAGTTGTAATTTGAGACTCTAGTGCCGTCTACTACTTCAAAACAATTGCTTCAGTTATAAAAGCTCACGCTTGTTCGGCACCGTTAGCTGGACTTTGCTTTCCTTTGCCAGTCTCACAATAACATGCACACACCCCTCTCCTCCCGCCGTTTCCTCTACTAGGCATTTCTCCAGTTTCGCGTGATTTTCCTAATGCGCGTCGCGGACACTATCTCGGCGCCGACGCCGACAAAACTACAATGGAGACTTGACTCTGACTGACTGACTCTTTCACACAACAATGAAAAAGAGCTCAATTTGCGGGGGAGGAGGGTTACCAGGCAGCACTACTCGTGTAGTGTAAGAAATAAAAGGGGGGAAATAGAGAGAGAAGGGGGGCGTGTTTGCTGCCCATTGGTTTTTTTTCCATTAGAGGGAATTCGCAGGAAGGCTGATTCGAACACGCGGCGAAACGGCTAGTAGCAGTGAGTAGGCAGTACATCCAGCTGGTACAAACCTGCTTCCCAACATGGATGAACCATGTTTCTTTCGCTAGATGCTGTACTGCTATTACTTGCTTCAACAGGCAACAGGGGCCAAAGAAGCCCAGAAGCCGGAGCCACGGAAACCGTTATCCGTTAGCTTTTTCAGGGCCAGGGCCAAAAAAAGGTACACGGCGTTAGCACACCATTAACGAAACGAACTTGGCAACTTGGGTACGGCTAAACTGGGGGAAGAGATGCTTTTTTCTGAAATGTTCCCCACACCCCTTTGTTTCACCAAAAACATTATTCTGTAATGATGCTCGAATAACGTCGTCATTTGCGCTCACGCAATTTATTCTGATTCTTTGGCCTTCGCCGTTGTTTCCGCACTCTCCTATAGAGAGGTACTTGGCTTGAGCTCAGCTCAGCTCATATCAGCTCAGCTCATATACGCCCCTCCCTGGTCATCTCTTTCTTAGCTGACAAGTATATGCAATGATTTACCTGTCTGTCTCATGTACATACCTAGGCATGTATGGAAATCAATTTTGGGAATGTGTCATTTCGCCTTGAAGCAGCTGTGCCCGGGGATTTCAGCACTGCGTATTGCGCGCATGACAGCGTGCAAGGATGAAGAGGATAACGATGCAGTATCCTGTTTTCTGTTTTCTGTGTTGTGTTATTTACCTGTCTCTCTATGTATTTTTTTTTAATTTGAGTTTCTTTGAATGAGATCGTATAGCAAGTCTCGTTCGTATCCATACTTAATATGTCGTATATGGCAAATTGGACTGACCTCCTCACCCTTATGAGTCTCTCACCTTTACCTTCACCATTCACAGGGGGCCCATCTGAGCTGAGAAAGTGAGGCTTTCCCAGCGGGCTTGGCGTGTTTTATCGCCATGGGGCCCCGTCCCAGAAGGATCAGTCGTTGCCAGCTATGCACACCCATTTCCAAACACAGCGCGCGCAGTAAAGCGACAACAGAGCAGTCTACACACACCCCTTCTTTTGCTGAGAAAAGAAGCAGCGAACCCTGGCTCGACACGTTTATTAGCAGCTGGCTCCAAGAGGGTAAAATGCTGGTACATCCTACAAGCCCGACGGATGGGATGCACTACCTGGCCGAGCTAAAACGAAGCTCTAGGGAAGCTAAACAGCTGCTGTACTAGATGCCAAAGTACTGCTGTGGGAAAGGTACTTGGCTGTCTTTGGTCCATCAAGTACCGTTTCTCTCTTTTCTCTCTTGTCCATTTATGGTTTAACTCCTTTTGTTTTTCTGTTCACACGCCCTTTACTCTTGCCTGCAAAGCGGTGATGCTCCGTATCTCTCAGCCTCCAGAGGCGGGCTCGGAATTAAAAACGTAGAGTCATCCCATATCAGACAACGTTACTTGTCCATTCGGATATTTTACTTTTCTGCTATCGAATCAATAATTTTGTTACGGTGTTTCTATCATCTTTCATTGATCAGAATTGACATCTGATTTTGACACAAAAGGCGTTCTGCACTGTAGATCTTTCCCCTCAAAAAAATCCCGGTTGACAGAATGTCCCCCGTCCTGCCTACCGAGACATTTTGGCAGCCTAAACTGCGTTCAGCAATGCCTTTCGAGCAGCTCCTCTTGTCTCCGTTATTTTTCTTCTCTCTTCACTTCCCCATTCTCCGTCTTTTTCTTCTTCTCCACAGGATGGGAAATCCAAAAAAAAGAGCTCAAGCGAGAAAACGGCACATTATTAAGCGTATCTTTTCCCCCTCTTTGTCGAGGGTTTTGGCCGGCGCGGTGGGCTTAGACCCAAGCCACGGAGGCACAACAGCTGGAAAAGAAAAAATGGCGGACCGCCATCCCCCCGCGCCCAAAGTGTTCATATATTCACTTCAATTTGAACAGCTAGTCTCAATAAAAAAACTCAAAGCTACCAATCCTTAAAAAGAACAGGACACAGAAACGAAGAATTGGAGAAAGTTGCACGCCGGAGGATCTAGTCCTGTTCAATCCTTTTGGCATTTTTGACATCACCAGCAAACGCCTGACACAAAGCCGGGTGTGATTCAGCCTGCCATCTAATAGCATTTTCATGCATTATACGCATAGCAAAACAGACAGAAAGAGGGTAAATGCCATTAAGTGCTTACACGTGTTTATTTTGCTTTCGGAGCACAGTCCGAATACAGGCCGCAGCACAATGCCACAGAAACCCAAGGCATAAGAAACTGGGCTGCTGCGTAACAAACAAACTTTGGCTCCCCCTTGGCGGGAATCTCGCTTCGTATCGAACCTCGTATGCAACGTTAAAATCGAAAAGAGACGTCTCTAATTCGAGGTTATCTCCAATTGTTTCAATTAGGCCCGATAACAAATTTGAAAAGTGCTTAAAATGAGCCCGGTAAAGTCACTGATCAACCATATACATACGACATCTTCTGAGAAAGACAAAAAGTACAGTGATAAGAGAGATGATTGCTGCATCTTTTGGTGTAGCTTCAGTCCATACACACACACACCAATCAACCTTCTTCTCTGCCTCCCCACCATTTCTCGCAGACTTTCCGCTAGAGCCGCGAAGCTCCGTTTCAAACGGGCTCCCATCTCTTATCCCCTTAACCAAACGTGGTAATAACCGAAGCGCCGTCAAACCTGTGGTAGCAGTACTTGTGCGTCTCTATCGGTTTCCTTTGTTTTTCTTCTCTGTTCGATACACACTCTGCCCACTCTCCTTTTTTTTTCTTTTCCCTCCTCACACACACCTTTTTTCACTTGCGTATGTAGGTTATTACCGAATGTAGGTTTCTGAAGATTGGTGCTTGCATTAGCTAAGCTGTCTCGAACTAGACTGACGTTGTGAAACATCTGATTTCAAACTTTTGGCGCTCAAGCCCTTTGCACATCACTGATAAACCGCCAATCCCGCCGCCAATCCCTCCGCCAATCCATTTCTCCTTTGCCCATCGAAATGCCGATAAAATTGCCCATCCACAGAGGAGCGAAAAGCCAGCAGAATAACCCCTCTTCTCCTTTTAATGATGATCCAGTAGTAAGAAACTCGGGCATACGTCATTTCTGCCAATCTTCTCCCCGATGGTACATGCCATCTGCAAACACATGCATGAAGGGGGAGCAAAAGAACGAAAACAAAATAATTCGCATAGTAAAACAGTTTGCCGTGTAAGTGCCAAGCCACGCACTACACACCACATACAGCAAAGCGTACCCACGGCAAGTATTACGCTCTGCCTCTGTTCCACTCTTCTGCGTATTTTCCAAAAGACTCAGTGCAAATCCTCTGCAATTCCGCACTCCGCAAAGTAAATCTCGTCCCTCGGTCGAATCTCTGGCGGAGTTACGCCCATGTCTTTCTCGCTTACTCGACTTCATGTGCCACTTTCTAGAGGAGAGGAGTTATCCAACTCTACAGCTATGTAGCGGGCTACTACTACTATCGATGCTACTGCTTTTTAATGCATTCAGCAATTGTATATTTGAATATAGATTACCTAGCTACCTTGATGAGCAACGGCTGAGGTGTTGGACAATGAAACTGGCAGCTAGATCGTTTGTCCCTTCCAGAGATATACACAGCCGCCTAATACGCTCAAGCCACCATCTCGACTTGAATACGCCACCGCCGGTTTCCATTGTTAGTAAATGAAAACGTCCATGG